CTAAATACTCTTGGCTTTAGAAGATTTTGCACACATACTTGCATCAGATCATAAAAATGCTATTCCATACCTCTGCTCACCTTACATATTGTTTTTATTTTATATCCACATTGACAAGTGTTTTAGTTCAAATTTTGGGTCATGGTGTTCATTTAAAAATATTTCACACATACTTTTAGTTAAAACAATGAGCAAGTGAACAAATTTCAACCTATTATTAAATGCTCTAGAATGCTTTTTTTTTTTTTTTTGTACCGGAGATCGAACTCAGGACCTTGTGCTTGTGAGGAAGGTGGTGGGAGCACTGAGCCTAAATCCCTGGCCCTGCTAACATGCTTTTGAAAACCTTGGATTTGTGCATCAGAGGGGAGAATTGGAGGCTGAAGTCCATCACTACTGCCTTTGTTCCGGTTAACTTCATACATTCACGTGAGTCTTTCCCTCGTTCTTTTTCACTTTCAGCACCTTTTGGACAAAATCAATGAATATGTGGGCAAAGCCGCTACCCGCTTATCCGTCCTCTCGCTGCTGGGGCACGTGGTGAGACTGCAGCCGTCGTGGAAGCATAAGCTCTCTCAAGCTCCCCTTTTGCCTTCTTTACTAAAATGTCTCAAGGTAAGATGTCTGTAGAATTTTCAAAGGGTGATCTGAGTGACTCAGGGCGTGCCAATTGGATGTTAACTTTTAGAATTTGAAAGCTTGTAGGTGTTTCTCTAATGTGACGTAGTCCAGAGTTACTAATTCTCAGGTGTGTCACCACACCTGTCGAGTATCTTTTATCTGAGCAAATGAGGTAAAATTCCAGTCAGATGGCTTCAATGTTGTGTCGCTCCCAGTATCTTTGCTTTCATCACCATCTAGGCTTCCTGCCATTAAAAATTTGTGGGGGGCCTGGGATTTAGCTCAGTGGTGCCATTGCCTGCCTTGCAAGTGCAAGGTCCCAAGTTCAGTTCTGGTACCAAAAAAAAATTTTTGTGGGATTCTCTCTTTTAGGAATTTCTCTTTCAGTAGATTGAACACCTAGGAGCATGTTACTTCCGGTGGCAGCTATAGTTAAAGATTTATTGATATAGGTCCTACTGAGTTGCAGTCTACTTTTTTTTAGGGGGGGTTCTGAATTCCGGAACTTTTGGTTTTAGTTTTGACAGTGGTTTGCTGAAATACTCAGAGGCATTTTATTAATGTGTTTTAGTTCCTAGGCTTATTTTGTCTGTGTAAAATAAGAAAATGTGGTTGACATTAACTGCCTCTGCCTCACAGAGATGTGAACATATCTAGCAGTATTTGTTCCAGGACAGTAGTTTGGATTCATCTAAGACAGCACCATGTATATTGATTTTTGTGTCTCACCAACAGGGGTAAACCCCTGTTTTGCCTAGGGTCCCAAGGAGTCACCTTGGTTGGGTATCATAAAATCATGCATTTGATGTAAAGAAAAAGCAGGAGCAGTCGGGAATTGAGCTCAATGGTGCTGCCATATGCCTCGCAAGTGCAAGGTCCTCAGTTCAATCCCCAGTACCAAAAAAAAAAAGCAAGAACAACAACACCAAAAAAAAAAAAAAAATGCTGGTCAGACAGTTTTAACAACTTAATATTCTTTTAGCAAAGCAATTGTTGAGAAGATAGTCCAGTTTTGAGGCAAAACATTTAGTTCAGATTGCAAAACACTTTTATCTTTTGCAAAAGAGTGAGCCTATTGAATATTAGGTATGGACTATTATCTAGGTCTTCAATTAGAATGTTGAGGTTATAGAACTGAAACTAGGGACTGATGCATTCCCATTACATATTCTCAGTTCTGCCAGTGTATTCTGCTCACCACATATCTGCCCCAGCAAAAGGCTTGGGGGGGTTGATGTACAAATTAAGTATATTTAAAACTATTTCCATATTCATAGATATTTTTTCTAATAAGAATAAGGGGTGCCTTACCCTGCATGGTCTTTTGATTAATGTCTTATTTTGTAAGTCTTAATTTCAGTTACTCGGCAAAGATCCGTAGTTGAATTATGAGTCAGGTGAGCTGCTGTATCAGGCGTGAGCTGACTCATTATCCATTGATGTGAAGTGCCTTCATTTATCTTAAAGTTGACTTGATATTTAAACTAAAAGTATGGGCAGGAGGTTATTTGCAGCTCTCCACTGCCATGAAAGTGATACATTAACTTGTCAGTGCTATTCTGATTTCTTCCCCGATGACTCTTCTGTAGGTAGTCCTTTAAGAAACGAAGTGGTGAAGTGGTGTGGGGGTATGTCCCCGTGGTAGATGCTTGCTCAGTGTGAAGCCCTGGGTTCTCTTCTTCAGCAGTGGGAAAACAGACAGCATCAACAAATAACTCCACAGTGAATTACTTCCCAGCACGTAGTGTTTTAATAAATTGACTTCACACACACACACACACACACACACACACACACACACACACACATCCTAGGATTTGACTGAATGGATGAGAACAGAGCACTGTTCTGTGTTCTGTTAAAAGACAACTTTGTGTGCCACTATCCAAGTATTATAAGTAGGAGATTCTGAGGTTTCAGGACTTAGGAGTCTCTAAGCCAAGTTAAAGCCCTCTTCTGATGTGATGGTGGTTTGGACATATTGCAGATGGTCCTCCCAGATTCCTCACAGCAGATCTACAGCTCAGTACTTGTTCTCTTCAGCCCATTTCAGTGCTTTCCCCTCAAATCCGTAGGGATCTGGAACTGAGTATTGAGGAACATGTGTTTTGTGATCCCTCAGCGTTTAGAACGTCACCTACTGCCCAGTGCTGTGCCTGACAAGTGTTTCTTATTTGCCTTCCTTTCTGCAGATGGACACTGACGTCGTCATCCTCACAACAGGTGTCTTGGTATTGATCACTATGCTACCGATGATTCCACAGTCTGGAAAGCAGCATCTTCTCGATTTCTTTGATATCTTTGGCCGTCTTTCATCATGGTGTCTGAAAAAACCAGGTACAGATTCCTTGTATCTCTGGCAAGCTCTGCCCGGTGAATGCTACCTTGGTTACTGATCAACAGGTCCTGCACTGTGAGGGCAGAATGTGTGAAATGTGTTGCTGAAATGAGGAAATCCTTGGGTGTGTTCAGTTAGACACGTACAAAAGTCATGTCTGGTGAGATGCTGTCCTTATTTTGTTGGTGTAAAAGGATTAGTCATCAGAAGCTGAGTATTACGATGTAAACCTTTCTGATTTTCGTTAACTGAAAGGATTTCAATCTGTGTGGTTGCAGAGGTGACCTAACATGTGGAACATTTTTATTTGACCCTGCTGGTCTTTGGTGCCAGAACACAAAACTTCGGTTCTGAGAACCTGTTCACTGTACATGTAGGAGGAGGAGAGGAAATGTAGTGTGTGCTAATTGAATTCCAGTTTCAGGGTCACTGGGGATATTTTTCTAGATCAGCAGGTAGCACAGCTCTGTCAAGTGATTCAGAAGCTATACGTGAAATTCAGAATCTTTTGTCAATGTTGCCATGAAATAGTCCTATGGAAAGGATGAAACACGTTAAGATCTTGTGAGAGAATGTGTGGTTTCTTAGACAGTACTGCACAGTGCCATGTGATGCCAGTTTATTCAGTAGGATCTTGGGAGAAGGGAGTGTCCAGTATGATGGAGGAGCCGGGGTTTCTTCATGGTCTAGGTAAGGCCAGATTCATGGAACTGTCCAATTCTCCCACTCCTAGCAATTTCCTCTAATTTCTGGATAATGGGTGTTTTTTTTTCCCTCTGTAGTTTTAAGTTTGCATACTTGAGACTACACCCCAACTTTAACGTTTGCTCCACAAACACTTGAACGCTTATTATACTCCAATCATTATGCAAGGCACTGGCGAAAGAGAACTGAGTAGGGTGGTCCTTTCCTCAGGACATACATGCTGAATTGAGCAAAGAGAAAAGTATGATTAGAAGTTGTAAGGAGAATGGCTGTCATCGTGAATGTAGTTCAGTACCGCAAGAATGTTTGGTTGGGCTCCTTTTGGGGGTGTGACTGAAGTTTGTCCAAGACCATGGGAGCCACTGATGGATTTTAAATAGAGACCATCTGGTGTGTTCAGGTTTGCATTTGAGAAAAGCACTCTCCATGTTCACATCTATTTTATACATGTCAGACTTGTTTGCAACTAAGAGTGTCCTTGCTGGTTTCCTTTCTTAGGCCACGTGACAGAGATCTATCTTGTCCATCTCCATGCCAGTGTTTATGCCCTCTTCCATCGCCTCTATGGAATGTACCCTTGCAGCTTTGTCTCCTTTCTGCGTTCTCACTACAGTATGAAGGAAAACTTGGAGACTTTTGAAGAAGTGGTCAAGGTAAGTTAAAACTGCTTATTTCTTTGACGTAGTACTTAGTGCACTATCTAGATGGGCTACACATTTATAACATCTGCATTAAGTGGTATGTAGGGAAATTTTTAAGAGAAATTCAGCCTTCTCCTAAAACCCTGCCTCATCCTTAGAACCACTAGTCAGCTTCCTGTCTTTATGATGAAGGCTTGGGATCACACAATGTGCACTCCTCCGTGATTAGCTTCTCTCAATACAATGTTTCAAGGTCCATCAGTATTGTAACATGACTGGCACTTTAGATTGTCAAGTAATAGTCCATTGTGTGGGTTTGCCACAAAAGTTCACACCTATTATTTGTCAACCCAAACTCTTCTAGCCAATGATGGAGCATGTGCGAATTCACCCGGAATTAGTGACTGGATCCAAGGACCACGAACTGGACCCTCGAAGGTATAGACACTAAACGAGTAACAGGAGTTTTAAGAGTCTCTTGAGAAATTGAGATTGTGATTCAGGAGGTGTCCCTGTTGAGGTAGTGTTTGGGAATATAAGTGTTCAGTGTACAGAATCATTGCATTTGGAAGGACTTGTACAACTGGAGCTTGTGGGAGTCCAACTAGAAACTCCTTTAGCAGAGTGAGGGAGGTTGCAGTGCAAGTTCCTGTCCCCCAGCGCCCCAGGAGGGCCATCCCCTTGGAGGTGCCAGGATTGTGTGAAGTAAGTGGTGAAAACAAGTGAGTTGCAGAAGGCCATTTGTTGAGTGGAGGACCTACCCGAGGCCTTTCTCTCCCAGCCACCACTGGCTCCTGCAGAGTTCCCAGGCCTGTTCTTTGGACACCCTGACTGGAGCGAGGCCCACAACTTGAGGACACCAGGCTTGGTGCCAGCTAGCGGAGCTGAGGTTGAGCGTGAAAAGGAGGGAAGTGAAGGAAACTGAATGAACTGAGCTGCAAGCAGCTCTGCTCTCCCCCTTCTTCTCTGATCCCCTCTACTTCTCCAGTGAGGGCATGGAGCCATTTTTGAGGAAACTTTTAGGCCGCAGACAGTGACCTCTGCATTCTGTCCCTGTCAAGGCTGGCTCCTCACCTGATGCCCTCGCAGCCCGCCTCACCTCTCTGCCGGCTGTGCCACCATGCAGCCTCAGTTGGTCTAAAGTAATTCATTGTGAGATGTGCAATGGGTAGAGAAGCGTACAGAATGTACATGTAAAGTTGAATAATCACGCAGATGTGTAACCAGCACCCAACTTGAAAAGCAGAAAATTCCCATTACCTTAGGAGTCCTTGTGGGACCCTTTTGAAAGGGAATTGTGACGCTCAACACCTAGGCCACACACACACCAAGAGGTCCGACTGGAGACTTTACTCAGGGAGTGGGAGGAGAGAGAGAGAGAGAGAGAGAGAGGGAGGGAGGGAGGGAGGAAGAGGAGGAGGAAGAGAAGAACAGAACAAAGAAAGGAAGGTCCTTTTATCAGTTTTGGGCTGGGCTGTTGCTTATTCATGAGGAGTGGGCTAGTTTTAACCTATCACAGGCCAGGTTGTCTTTTATGGGTTCAGTTCTGCAGAAACAGGTTTCAACTTCTCTGTCTTGCTGTGGCCTTGGTGGGAGGGAAACTAAAGATAAGAGCATGAAGTCATTCTAAGAAACAAGAAGCACCAGGAAAATGCAGCCTGTGATGGTGGCGTCACAGCATACTTTAACATGATCAATTCCCTAACACCTTTTCCTTCCTGTTCCCCTCCCTCCTCAGAGACAGGTGTTACTCTTGCTTTTCTGTTACTCTCTGTAGATTTTTCTCTGTGTGTTGTTTTGTTTTGCAAAGCTGATTAAGAAGCTGGTCCTGGCTCAGGAAGGGCAGTCCCGTCACTATTAGAGGCAGGGTCCCTGGGATGAGGGCAGGAGCAGCGTCTGAGTCTGGGTCTGGCTTCACTGTCCTTGAGAGGAGAGGAGCCCCTCGGAGTTTCACAGCCAAGTGCAACAGCTCAGCATTACAACCGAGCGTTAACGACTGTCGGCTATTGGAAGGTCTCTGGCAGTGAAGGAGTCAAGCACCACTTGGAGAAATGGGGGGGAACCTTTATTGGCAACAGATTCAGAGGGTTTGTACTCTAAAGTCTGAGCCCCCAGCAGCAATGCCAGCAGCCTCGTGGAGAGGCCTTGGGATGGAGGTGGGCCCACCTACCAGGCGAGCATGTCCATTGCGGCGGGTGGGCGGAGCTAACAGAACACTCTTGAGACCTTAGTAGAAACAGTTACATTGCTTGGACAGAACATCCAGTGGCACAAACAGAGCGGGGCTTGGCGACAGAGAAAAGCCTGCTCTGCTCTACATTGTTTCCTTCTCAGGAGGATATCGGGCAAGGTCATGTGGAAGGCCAGGGAAGCTCAAGGCTCACCCTGTCAGAGTGTCTGGCCGGGCCCCTGTGGGGAGTGTCACTAGACGTGGCTGCGCTGTGACAGTAGGGAGTAGCCCTTACAAAGCACTGCTCACAGCTCGCGTGGCTAGGTCAGGGCACAATGCCTCTGTGGGCAGAAACGGGTGTCCTCTGCTGACCTGACAGCAGCAGCCTCATCACTCACGTTGAAGACAGATGATCTAGGCTGGGGTCACCTGGCTCTGTCCCTTGGCCACACAGATAGTGTGGGGCGGCAGGGGCCTCGAGAACGGTCTGCAGCATGCACGTCTCTTGGCAAGTCTGCTCTTTGCCAAGCAGCATCGTCTGGGCCTGTGTCCAGCTGCCAGCCTGTCCGAAGCTTTGCCTTGGTCTCGCAGTAACGGCAGCATCTCCCGTGTCCCGTGTCTCGTGTCTTCTTTCTGGGGTCGCTCGGTTTTGGTGGAATGGCATTCGGAGGGAGGCTGTCCTTGGTTGGCCGGGGTAGATCTGTGGGCTGGGAGCCGGCCTCATTGTATAACTGCAAGTGCTGTTCTGTTGCCATTTTATAGCCAGTGCTGCTGTGGAAATCCAGAGGCCTTCCGATTCCTGAGCCTCTGTATTTTCTGTAGTTTCTTCTACGGGAGCCTGTAGGGTGTTATAGCGACATGGTACTGTAAGATTCCCTTGTGATGTTTTGGTGTGGGTCTCCTCTTATTCTTCAACCTAGAAGAAGCTCTTAACTCTAGGAAATCTTGAATTACTTTTTGCTTGTTTTCCTTTCTGCCGGTTCTTCCAGTAATGAGTTTGGGATCACCCTGCTCTCCTTTCCTTTTCTGTTTTTCTTTCTATCTTTTGTTCCACTTCTTGCAGACCTATTTTCCTTTAGCTTTTGGTCCTGTAATCATTGTCATTTGTACTGTGTTTTTCATATCTAAGAGCTCTTATTAGTTTTTTTTGTTTGTTTGGTTTTTTGAGACAGGGTCTCACTGTGTAGTTGAGACTGACCTGGAACTCACTATGTAGCCCAGGCTGGTCTCGAACTCACAGCGATCCTCCTGCCTCAGCCTCCCGAGTGCTAGGATTACAGGCGTGCGCCACCACGCCTGGCAAGCTCTTCTTAGTTTTCAGACAGCACATTCTCTTGTGTCTTTGGCTATGTTGACTTTTTTTATTGTTTTGTTTTTCCTGAGTAGTTCATTTCTTCTAAGCTGCTTTCTTTTTTTGTTTGGATTTGTTCTTTTTAAATATTTGAGGCTTTGGTAGTTTGCTTGTATATGTACTGCTGAAGTAAGCGCTGGTGATGTGTTGTCGGGGGATCTGAGGGCTCTGCGTGTGGAGTGGCTCTTGTTGACCTTGAGCACTGTGTGTGGGTCTGAGCAGCTGCAGGAAGTGCTGGTGTCAGTGTTGCTTTCTTCTTGAGCTGCTCGGGTTGTGGGAAAGGGTTCTGATCTCCAGCCCGGGAAGGGTTTGGCTGCCGCTGGGGAAGAGGCTGGTGGTGAAGAGGGCTCAAGTGGTCTTGGCATTCTGGTACCGGGGATTGAACTTGGGTCCTTGTGCTTGTGAGGCAGGCAGCAGAACCACTGAGCTAAATCCCCGGCTCCGTCTTGGCATTCTGAGTGTGTGTGTTCGCTCGTCTCCTTGTTTGGAAAGTGTCCCTCTCCCGTCTCATCTAGAAGCTCATTGTGCTCCCTCCAGAGAATAATGCAGACTTCTGGGGAGCAAAGGCCATTGCGTGGAAGTGTAGACTGGGAAGGGACCTCCGGTGCTCAGCGTGCCTCCAGCAGTTTCACCCCGTCTGACAAGTCAGTCGTCTTCATCCCCTCGCCACTCATCTCGGTTCCGGAACCTCTGGACGCTGTGGTGGCCCGGATCTGAGAAGTCTGTGGAATCCACGGGCTGACCCGTCCCTGAAGCACCGGCTGCCCGGGCTTCCGCTGCCTTGGCTTGGTCAGTCACCCTTCGCCTGTTACTCTCCGGTTTTCAGCGTGTGCAGTGCTGCCCCATTCTCCTCTCTGTGGGTTTGCATTTGAGCTGACAGATCTCAGATGGGATTGGGGAGATTGTCCCATTGGATGCATCTGTCCAGCCTGCCTTACTCACTGGAAGGCCACCTCCTTTCAGCTTCTAGCATTCTGCTTGCTGAGGCGAGGCGAGGCACCTGCGTTTGGGAGAGCTCTGATGTGAGCACAGGTCAACGTGAAGAGGAGAACGCGGGCTGGAAACTGATGGTATGGAGAGCAGAGAAAGTTTCTGCAGTAGCACAGGGACACAGACAGTGCTTGTCCATAGACAGTGGAAAGGTCAGGATGCCGCAAAAGAGCACCTTTCTGAGACTGAGGTGAGGCTCTTAGAAATCAAGCGTGATAGCCAAAGTAAACATTTCAGCTATAGAATTGGAAAATAAAGTTGAGACTATCGGAAACTGAACCAAAGGATAGGAATGGGTCATAGGTGAGCAGATTCAGCATGATCGATGCAGGAAATCCAACATCCAATTTTAAAAAGTCTTAGAAGGAGAGAAAGCTTTGGTATAAGAAGAAATTGTGAAAGACATAATAGGAAGTCATTCCCTAGAGCTGAAAGGCCTGAGCTTCCAGAAGGGACCTACCTAAGGTGCATTGCAATCACGACAAAAGAATGCCACAGCTCAGTTTTATGAGTTTCAGAAGACCACAGAAATAAAACTTTCAGAGCTAGAAAGCCAAACCACTTAATAAGGATCAGAAATTAGGATGGTGTCAGCTTCTGAAACCCTTTTTTTGTCCTTTGGTTTTTTTTGAGACAGGGTCTCACTATGTAGTTGAGTTTGGCTATGTTGACTTTTTTTATTGTTTTGTTTTTCCTGAGTAGTTCATTTCTTCTAAGCTGCTTTCTTTTTTTGTTTGGATTTGTTCTTTTTAAATATTTGAGGCTTTGGTAGTTTGCTTGTATATGTACTGCTGAAGTAAGCGCTGGTGATGTGTTGTCGGGGGATCTGAGGGCTCTGCGTGTGGAGTGGCTCTTGTTGACCTTGAGCACTGTGTGTGGGTCTGAGCAGCTGCAGGAAGTGCTGGTGTCAGTGTTGCTTTCTTCTTGAGCTGCTCGGGTTGTGGGAAAGGGTTCTGATCTCCAGCCCGGGAAGGGTTTGGCTGCCGCTGGGGAAGAGGCTGGTGGTGAAGAGGGCTCAAGTGGTCTTGGCATTCTGGTACCGGGGATTGAACTTGGGTCCTTGTGCTTGTGAGGCAGGCAGCAGAACCACTGAGCTAAATCCCCGGCTCCGTCTTGGCATTCTGAGTGTGTGTGTTCGCTCGTCTCCTTGTTTGGAAAGTGTCCCTCTCCCGTCTCATCTAGAAGCTCATTGTGCTCCCTCCAGAGAATAATGCAGACTTCTGGGGAGCAAAGGCCATTGCGTGGAAGTGTAGACTGGGAAGGGACCTCCGGTGCTCAGCGTGCCTCCAGCAGTTTCACCCCGTCTGACAAGTCAGTCGTCTTCATCCCCTCGCCACTCATCTCGGTTCCGGAACCTCTGGACGCTGTGGTGGCCCGGATCTGAGAAGTCTGTGGAATCCACGGGCTGACCCGTCCCTGAAGCACCGGCTGCCCGGGCTTCCGCTGCCTTGGCTTGGTCAGTCACCCTTCGCCTGTTACTCTCCGGTTTTCAGCGTGTGCAGTGCTGCCCCATTCTCCTCTCTGTGGGTTTGCATTTGAGCTGACAGATCTCAGATGGGATTGGGGAGATTGTCCCATTGGATGCATCTGTCCAGCCTGCCTTACTCACTGGAAGGCCACCTCCTTTCAGCTTCTAGCATTCTGCTTGCTGAGGCGAGGCGAGGCACCTGCGTTTGGGAGAGCTCTGATGTGAGCACAGGTCAACGTGAAGAGGAGAACGCGGGCTGGAAACTGATGGTATGGAGAGCAGAGAAAGTTTCTGCAGTAGCACAGGGACACAGACAGTGCTTGTCCATAGACAGTGGAAAGGTCAGGATGCCGCAAAAGAGCACCTTTCTGAGACTGAGGTGAGGCTCTTAGAAATCAAGCGTGATAGCCAAAGTAAACATTTCAGCTATAGAATTGGAAAATAAAGTTGAGACTATCGGAAACTGAACCAAAGGATAGGAATGGGTCATAGGTGAGCAGATTCAGCATGATCGATGCAGGAAATCCAACATCCAATTTTAAAAAGTCTTAGAAGGAGAGAAAGCTTTGGTATAAGAAGAAATTGTGAAAGACATAATAGGAAGTCATTCCCTAGAGCTGAAAGGCCTGAGCTTCCAGAAGGGACCTACCTAAGGTGCATTGCAATCACGACAAAAGAATGCCACAGCTCAGTTTTATGAGTTTCAGAAGACCACAGAAATAAAACTTTCAGAGCTAGAAAGCCAAACCACTTAATAAGGATCAGAAATTAGGATGGTGTCAGCTTCTGAAACCCTTTTTTTGTCCTTTGGTTTTTTTTGAGACAGGGTCTCACTATGTAGTTGAGACTGACCTGGAACTCACTAAGTAGTGCAGGCTGGTCTCGAACTCACAGCGATCCTCCTGCTTCAGCCTCCCGAGTGCTGGGATTACAGGTATGTGCCACCACGCCCAGCCAAAAACCTTTTTAAAAATGAGAATAAAAAGCTTTCTGCTTAGAATTCAGCCAAATTGCCCAACAGGTATATGGTACTTTCAGACAGGCAAAGACTCAAATTTGCCTCCCGTGTATTCCAAGGTAGCCACAGGCATGTGTTCTGCCAAAGTGAGGGTGAGATCAAGGAAGAAGAAGACACAGAGTCCAGGAAGCTGAGGACCTGAGTTAGGGTCACAGGCAAGGAAGTGTCGGGATGGCAGCATCACAGCCGCCTGTGACCTGGAGAAGCCCAGACACCAGGGGAAGGCTCCGGAAGGCGCCCACAAGGAGTGAAGGGACTGTTCCTGGAAGGTTTCTGCATTTCTTTGTATAAAATGTACGTCAGCATTGTTTCAAAACTGCTAGAATAAGCTTAGGAAGCATTAGCAGTAGTTACACAGAAAACTAAGGAAAAGACAGAAAAATTAAAACTCCAGGGTAAACCCAATGAGAGGAAGCGTTCAGGGCTCTCTGGCTCAGCCATGAGCAACACCTGCGTAGTCTGGGCGATTGTTGAAATGGATTTCAAAAGTAAAGATGTTCTGAATTCCAAGCAGAAACAGGGATGCACTTGGAGAGCGTTGGAGGAAGGAAAAGATCTGTGGCAGGGACCTGAGACCTCACCTGCTCTAAAGGGAAGTGAGCAGATGAGGTCTGAAGTTCACGAAGTGGAGGTGAGCCTTAGCACGCGTTCTTAGGAAGCATTGGAAGCTGGGTCAGAGTCGTTGCCACGGAGACCTGGGGTCACCCTGTGACACAGTCCTCTTTAAACCCCCGTGTTTCACTGACCCTGAAATGACACTGACTTTGGATGTATTTGCGTTTTATGTACATTTTAGAAAAACAGTGCCAGATCAACTAATGCGGCTGATTAAACTACAGGCTCCAGTTTTAGAGATCCCGAAACTGAAAATTCTTTGTAAGATTTAAGGAAATACATCACATATATAACTAATTAAAACGTTTAAACATATTCCTCCTTCAGTGTGATTTTCATTCTCTTGTCTGAAATCAGTCTTCCTGTGTACATAGGCATCCTGACTCCTGCTGTCACTGGGTCACTTTGTGGAGGTGCCGAGTGCAGGGAAGGGGCCACCTCAGGGCGCATAACCACGGGAGCAGACGCAGCTGTGGCCTGGAGGGTGAGAGAGAAAGGCTTGCCAGTGAGGAAGCTGCCTTGTACTCTCCCCACACCCAATGCTCTCATTTCTGTACTTTCTCACATTTTCAACTTGGAAGACTGGAGCATTCTCAGCAGTTGTGTAGGATGGCCTGTTTCACTGGGGGACCCTTGGGCACCCTCAGTGTTGCTGTGCTGCTCCTCCCTGTAAACTTTGGAACGGAAAGTGCAAAGCCCGGATAGAGATGGGAAGTCCTTAGGAACATAGACAGAGAGCCGTATTGTCTCAGAGAACGTTTCCTCGAGAGCAGGTATTCCTATTTTAAATGTTCTGTTAAATACGAGGCCTTTATGGAACACTTGGCAAATACCAGAGTCAGTCAGAGGAAGCAAATGAACACTGTGCCTTACTCTGGCTCTTTCCTGTTTGGGGCACTGAGAAGCAAGTGCTCTGCACTGAGCCATGGCCCCAAGCCTTCATTTCTTCAGTTTGAATACTTAATGCTGTCAGGTCTGTTGGTGAGCGTGTCTCCGAAGAGTTTTGTATCCTTTTAAAATTTATGATTATATTCTGAACATTTTACTCATTTAATATTTTAAAATTATATTATTTTTTAAATCAACCTTAGTCTGGTGTGTAATTAATAAAAATAAAGTTAATCCGTTTGGCTAAGTTATGACAGAAGTTGCAGTCACAATAAAGAACATGTCCACAGCCCCCAAAACTTGATTTTTCCCCTTCCACTGCGCTTGGTAATACCGATGTGTGGAAAGCCTACTTTTGGTGGAGGTGTGCCAACAGTGCTGTTGGAGAACATAACCCTCTGGTTGTTCTTTGGCTTCTTTCCTGTCTCTCTCTCATGAGCTGTGCTGTCCTGCAGGGTTGTACATCGTGATGTATGTCTTACTGTAAAATAAATGACCAGAAGTAGAGCTGTGGCTCACACAGCAGAACTCTCTGGCAGTCTTCAAGTGATCTCTAGTCTGTGTCTTTCGGCAGTAACCTGCCCGAGGGTGGATTTAAAGAACCCCGAGGCTTTGAGAGGGACCCGAGTGTTCATCTGCCTGCTGCTTTCCAGCTCTCCCTGTGCCTTGATCACTTTGGTTCGAGAGGAGATTTTTCCCTTGGTGGTTGCTCTGCAGTTTGTTATATTGAGGCTGTATCTAGTCTTTATTGATGAAATTTTTCTTTCGAATTAGTTTCTATTAACTTGATGCAACTGTTTTCAATCGGGAAGGTATAGATTTGCAGGATGAATAGCTAATTCTTCGTATACCAGCATTGGGGCTGGAATGCTTCTGCCCTGGGCTTTGCAGATCCAGGGCCAGGCTGGCTCTGAGTTGGCACTCTAGATGCGGTGCGGTAAATGGGTTTCCATTTGCTTTCCTTGACTTTCATTGCCCTTTCTAGGTGGAAGAAGTTAGAAACTCATGATGTTGTCATAGAGTGTGCCAAAATCTCTCTGGACCCTACAGAAGCCTCCTATGAAGACGGCTACTCTGTGTCTCACCAGCTCTCCGCCCGCTTCCCTCACCGTCCCACAGATGTCACCACCAGCCCTTATGTTGACACACAGAATAGCTATGGTAAAAGTGACCTTGGTACTTAGCTCTCTTGCAACTTTGTCTGTGGAAAACATTGTTTATTTTTGTTGGCTTAATGTTCTTTTCCTAGAGCAGGGTTTAGTTTACTTCCTGTGATCCTTCCCCCAAATATTTTAAATTTGAATTTGCCTCCGTTTTCTTCTGATGATGTTCTCCTTCAAGTTTCATCGTCTTGACCTCCAGCCAAATAGTGTGTCCACTGACTTGGCCACGTGTCCTCAGCTTTTAACAAAGGATGGCTCTAAGTCCTTGATGGCCAAGTACTTGCGTAAGGAAACTTGTACTTTGTAGACATGCAGCGAGAGGCCAGCTGTGCTGGACCCATTGGAGCTGGATTCCTGCTGAAACTAGGCTCTGTCTGTAGGCTGCACCCACTGAAACCGCCCTAGTGTGTCCCTCCAGGTTATCCACATCACACCCTGCACTGCTGCTGCCAAAGAGCATTTAAAGAACCTTTTCTCCATGTTGCTACTTAAGTTTTTTTGGGGGGGTTTTGTAGTTTTTTTGTACCTGGATTTGACCTCGGGACCTCATGCTTGTGAGGCAGGTAGTAGAACCACTGAGCTAAATCCCCCACCCAGTGTTGCTACTTTAGACCCAAGGAGTCTGGGAAACCCCTCAGACTTCAAAAATACAGACGACCAAGTATTTCAGGGTGGTCAGAGGGCCGTCCTTCTTCATCGGAATCATCTGAACCACATTCTGACCCATTTTGTTCTTCCTTTCTCTTTCAGGGAACGCTACTTCCACCCCTTGCTCCGCCTCCCGGCCAGCACTGTTCAGTGCTCCAGGGCAGCGGGCTCATTCTTCGAGTTTCCCATCACCACGCCCGTTACCTGAGCCGCTGCAAGTATGGTGCTGAGCAGTGTGCCTGTTTCTGCTCTGCCTCCCGGGGAGCTGACCGCTGGGTTGGGAGTTAGTCTGTGGTCGGGAATGTTTCACGCCACACACTCAGGAGGCCCTTTTACAGATAATTGTCCTGAGCAGAGCAGTGTGCCGTTGCCAAATGGGCATTGTGGAGTCTAGTTGTACAAAACACCACTTGTCTCTTAATAAAGGTTTAACTTAGTAGGAGATATAAACCTTGCAGAGGAAACACTTTATTTGCCATGCTGATGGACTTTGTTTACTTCCCAGGCTAGTCTTTGGAGCCCATCCATGGTTTGTGGTATGACCACTCCCCCGACGTCTCCTGGAAATGTCCCACCTGATCTGTCACACTCGTACAGTAGAGTCTTCGGCACAGCTGGTATGTATGTCTGAGATTTCAGGGTGAGTTTTGGCCTGTATCACGATAGTTGGAACTGTCTTAGATCCCATAGTGAGTTTGGGGCCACTTGCATTTCTGAACTTGCTCTTGGCACTTAATGCAAACTTTTGGGGCTTCCAGAATGAATAAAGTGAACCTAGGGGAAAAGAAAGAAGAACAGAGGGGAGAAAGAGAGATCTAGATCCCCAGGAAATGAACTCGGAAGCCTTATTTGCAGTAATAGGCTGAGAAAAGAATTGGCAGTTTTTCTGACAGCTGGGCTTGGTTGATCGCATATTTTGCCCTCCTCCCTGAGCAGGTGGAAAAGGAACTCCTCTGGGGACCCCCGCAACCTCCCCTCCTCCAGCCCCACCCTGCCATCCCGACGACTACCTGCACATCTCACTCCCCCAAGTGGCAGCCACGCCCCCCAGGAAGGTGAGTGCTGGCAACCTCTGTCCCTGTCCTGTGACAGCGGTTATATAGGCATGTAGGTTATATGCCTTCAACCTTGACACCGTGACTCACTGGCAGGCCTCACTTGGTGAAGCTGATTATGCCAGGTAGACTTCTGGCCCGAAAGGTGACGGGTGTAGCCTGATGGGTGTGCCCCAGGTGTGTCTGGCCAAGCCTTGGGACCCAGAACCTTCACAAGTATCCCTGAGTCGCCTCTACCTTCACAATGAGCTGCTGTTTGCCCACTGCTGCTGCAGGGACTATGGCGGATGAAATGCTGGCCCCTTAGCACAGATCAGAACAGGTGCCACACTGTGCTGCTGGGCATTGCGTTCTCCCCTAAAAACAGGAAAGAGCTGGGTTGGTGGTGCCATGCCAGTAATGCCAGCCTAGGGAGGCTGAGTCAGGAGGACCATGAATTTGCAGCCAGCCTGGACTGCATAGTAGACCTTGTTTGAAAAATAAATAAAAACAGGAAAGAAAAAGTACTATGTCTCAGCTGTGTTAAGCAGTAGAAATTATTTTTATTACACCTGCATCCTTGAGAATACGTACATCTAGTATTTGTAACAAAATAGGAAGCACATGAAGAGTGTTTGTTGCATTATCAGAGAACTGTGGTATCTTCAGGCCTTGGGGTAATTACTTGAATTAGAACTGAACCTAGTTTTCCTGTCTTTCATGGAGCACCAATTTTATTTGAAAGAAGAGGTGACAAACTTGGGTGTTTGGCGGGCAGTTTCATTTTTTTTATTTTTTGGGGCAGGGTCTCACCATGTAGTTCAGGCTGGCCTCGGACTTGGGGCAGTCCTCCTGCCTCAGCCTCTTGAGTGCCAGGATTACTGATGTGCGCCACCAGGCCCAGTGGCAGGTAGTTTCTTAAATGATGAGTCATGTCTGTCACTTCAGGATAAACAACTGGCAGTTTATTGCTGATGACAAAATTCAACTTTCCGGTGAAAATTAGGAAATTAAAAAGTCTGTCTGCCACCATGAGCGAATGACGAGGTCGCAGTCTTGGGAAGAATAATTTTTTCTAGTACCGGGGATTGAACTTGGGACCTTGTGCTTGCGAGGCAGGGCGATGGAACCTGGGAAGAAGAATTTTGAGGTTTTTTAAATTTTACATCATATAATGAAGTGTTTCTGCATTTGAAAGAACTAAATAATTTGTTGAACGAATCTTCACTAAGCATCCAGTGTATGACCTTACAGAATCTTGCCTAGGTCAAAAGTGCATTCAGGGTACAAGGAAGGGCCAGTGGATTTTAACTGGGACAGGAAAAGTTACTTTGCAGAGTTTCAGATTCCACATTGTGACTAACTTTTAGGAAGCTACCACTTGCTAAGTTTGGGGTAATTATGTACAAAATTATGTACAAGTGTATGAAAGTGTAACGTGTTTACCTTTGCAAGCGTGTATCTCTGGGGTTCCAGGCTTTTTCCACGTCAGGCAGACTAACAACCTGTGGTAGAAGCAGCTAGGAGGGCGGGGGATTTAGCTCAGCGGTTCGGTGGCCTGCCTTGCAAGCACAAGGACCTGCGTTCAATCCCCCGTACCAGAAAAAAAAAAAAGAAGCAGCTAGGAGTCTCCTACTGCCTTTCATCAAGCCAAATAGTAAAGAGAACACAAAAATGTAGAGCGGTTCCATTCTTCACTCTGGATTTATTATTTTTTGGAAAATATAGTTATTTAAAAAAAATAAAAATGTTGTATGTATTAACAAGCAATATTTTTTTGTTGTTTTTGTTTTTGTCTTTGTTTTTTGGTATCGAACTCAGGAACTCGTGCTTGCTGGGCCAGTGCTGTGCTGCTGAGCTAAATCCCCAGCCCAGATTTGTTATTTTTAAGTCAGTATTTTAAAATATTTTGCAGTTTGTGTTACAGTAACAACTGACAGATTTAACCACGCAACAGAAACTCTTGGGGCTTTTTATATTGAGACTATAAAGATACCAAGACCTGTCATGTAAAGAAAGGTACAAGATCCCAATGATGAATGTAACTGTACTGCGTACCTAAAAAATACCAATAAACTCAATGGAAAAAAAAACAAAAGACTATAAAGGCAGTTTGAGAAACACTGGGCTGTCTTTGATGGTCTTTACAATATGCTAGAGAAGGTGCAGAGCGTGTTTCACTGTGCAATATAAATGGCGCTTCTCTTTTCAGGAAGAGAGAGCAGAGTCTGCACGGCCGTGTCTCCACAGACAGCCCCATCTTCCCAGCGACAGAGGCCTAGGTAACATGCACCTTGCTCGTCTCTTCAGATTGGATCGTATGTGTCCAAATCAGAGTTAGTGGCGCATACCTGTAGTCAAGAAGCTTCCCTTCAGTAGGAGGGTGCCCGGTGTACAGCATACTTACTGCCCTGTCTCAAAAAAGGACAGAAACAAGGACATTCTGGAATACCACAAAACACTGATGTGTAGAGGTTGGAAACAAAAGAAATGTGCCAAATTCTGAAAGTTAAGTTATTAATAATATCAAAAAAGTGCTTACGATAGCTGGATGTGGTGGCACACGCCTGTCGTCCCATCACCCTGGGAGTTTGAAACAGGTTTGCGATTGCATTGTTTTGTTTTGTTTTCTGCAGTACCTGGGGTGTAACTTAGAACCTTCCACTTGCGAGGCAGGCACAGTGCCACTGAGCTAAATCCCCACTCAAGATTACAGATTTGAGCCCGATCTGGGCAACTTAGCAAGACACTGTTTCAAAGTAAAAGAAAAAAAAAAGGCTGGGAGTGTTTCTCAGCATGAGACCCTGGGCTCAGTCCCCAGCACCACCCTCATAAAAGCTCATAAGCTGTTGTCCTGAATACCTCTGAGAGCGTTTTAAGCCCATAGTCTACATGGTTTTTATCTGTTTGGGAAGACACTAAGGCCTGAGAATTTTTTCTGTGGATTATTGTTGGTACCTTCAAGTAGGTGATTTGAATAGGCAGCTTTTTGCAGTAGGTTCGGAGCCATTTCCAGACCTCTGTCCAGCAGGAAGAGTGATCATAGCCATGTTCTGTGAGTCTCAGTACCCTACGCCTGCAGAGATGCGTGAGCATGTGTGACTGGCGTTTTCTCTGTCTCTCTTCAGAAGAGCTGCCCGGCCCCAGAGGCGCTGTCACTCTGAGTGATCTGCCAGGGTTTTTAGGTGATCTGGCCTCGGAGGAAGACAGTATCGAAAAAGATAAGGAAGAAGGTAACGTGTATGGGTTCCTGTGAGATGGAGCTCGGCCCTGGTTTTGTCCTAGAACCGAGTGCTAGTCCGCTCCAGGGCTCGCTTGCTTTTCTTCTGTTGGTGAACGGCTGGTGTCCGTCAGGATCCGTGCTGTGAAGGCATGCCCTGGTACTTGGCGCTGCTTGGCCTTGCCCCGTTTGGCATTCGCTGAAGCTTCCTTGTTTCCTGCTCTCCTTTCAGCCGCAATCTCTAAAGAGCTGTCTGAGATCACCCCTGCGGAGGCTGAGCCTGCGGTTCCTCGAGGGGGCTTCGACTCTCCCTTCTACGGAGACAGTGTCCTGGGCTCTCAGCGGAAGACACACTCAGCTGCTTCTGGGACACAGGGCTCCAGCGCGAACCCTGAGCCTTTACACTCCTCCCTGGACAAGCTTGGGCCCGACACACCAAAGCAAGCCTTTACTCCCATAGACCTACCCTGTGGCGGAGCTGACCCCAGCCCCGCTGGGGACAGGGACCGCCAGACTTCCCTGGAGACTGGCATCCTCACTCCCAGCCCTTGTAAAATTCCGCTTCAGAGGGGAGTGGACTTCGGAAGCGGGCAGCCTCCCCCGTATGATCATCTCTTTGAGGTGGCCTTGCCAAAGACTGCCTGCCACTTTGTCAGCAAGAAGACAGAGGAGCTGTTAAAGAAGGTGAGAGGAAGCCCTGAGGAAGACTCCGTGCCCTCTACCTCCCCAATGGAAGTACTGGATAGACTGATACAGCAGGGAGCAGACGCACACAGCAAGGAGCTCAGCAAGTAAGCGGGCTGCCGACCCTGTCCTGTCCCGTCCCCGGTTACTGACAAGCACGCCCAGCCCGAGGGTGGGAGCCCGGCGTAGCCTGGAGGTGCCGCGCTGCCTTCCCTGTGCAGGAGCACAGCACGCGGGCTGGGAAGACCCCCAGCGAGTCTGCTGCAAAGGGAGGCTGTGGTGCAGGCTGTTTGCACATTGTCCTGAGAGGATGGCGAATAAAAATGAGCTCCTGGTCTCACAAAGAAAATAGCAGTTTCCTCCTCTAATTACAGATTATTCTGTTACATTTTGGAAATGTGGTTTATGCAAGTTCAAGTGGCCCAAAGGCGCCTGCCACACAGGGCTCTTAGACACCCGAGACACCGTTGTCACTCTTTCTTTCAGTGCCCTTGTCAGAGGGTGTCTGGGGAAGGAATAAGGTACTCTCCGGTCCATAGTTTGGGTCCTGTGCTATTTCTACACAGGCTCTTGGAAAAAAATGTTAGTTTTTGTCTGTTTTCTGTATACTGTCCCATAATGGACTCTGACAGGAATGAATAGTGTTTAAACTTCTGTTGTTGTTTTTGAGGCAGGGTCTTGCTATGTAGTTGAGGCTGGTGTTGAACTCCCTGTGTAGCCCTGGCTGGCCTCCAGCTCCCATCCGTCCTCCTGTCTCTGCCTTCTGAATGCTGGGATTACAGACACGAGTCACCGTGCTTCGCTAAGCTTCCTCTTTTTAAATCACATTCGGTGTAATGGGTTAAAATAAGAGAACTGCTTTTCTGAAGTTTGTGTGAAAGTAGCTTCTCAAAGGAGAGCTACTTCCTGTGTATTCCTCGGAGAGGGGCGGAAGCAGCTCCTCCTGATCCTTGGAGAATGGACCGCAGGGTGCAGGCCACACGGAGGTGGGGGAGTGAGCAGTAGGGCTCCAGCGCAGGCCACACCTCCAGCTCTGTGTGTTCTCGGAGTTTGACACTTTCTTAGGCCCTTGAGGATTCTGAGCACAAGTAAATGACCTAATGTTGCTGCAGTTTAATGTCCACATGAGTTTTTCTAGATCATATCAATAACTTCATTACCCCAAACTCTATTCCTAGGTTGTCCTTACCCAGCAAGTCTGTCGACTGGACCCACTTTGGAGGTAAAGTTATTGCTTTGGCACCATATCCAGCCCACTGGTTCCTGCTGGCTTGTCACTTTTTCTGTCCTTGAAGGAGGTGCCCCTGTGGGAAAACAGCTCCCCTTGGTCCTCCTCCGGCCAGCGTACCTGCCAGGCCAGGGCACCTCAGGTGTTGCGAAGTCAGCATTTGCTCTTTGTGAATCATGGCAGTACCGCCTGCTTGGAAGCCAAAGCGCAGCCTTCACGCCAGGCCCCCTAGAAAAGGCTCAAGTGGTGTGCGTGTACTGAGAACCTCCCTGGGGAGAACGCAGCAGTCCAGGGCATCCCGCAGAGAGCCAGGGAGAATGAAATGTGTGGGTGCGCACGTGTGTGTGTGTGTGTGTGTGTGTGCGCGCGCATGCATGAGAGAGAGAGAGATCCGGTTTTGGGAAGGAGAGCAGCTCTCGAAGAGCCTCCCACTGGCACAAGCTCTGCCCTTGAAGTGGAGGTAGCTGGGAAGTGCTTCCTCCCTCCTAACAGTGGCTGCTGCTTGGAACCAGTGGTCACCTGCAGAGTAATTTGTACTTGGAAGAATTGTGTTTCTTAGACTAAAACAGGAGGGTCTTGATGGAGCCTCAGGTAAGACATTTCTGCCGCTCCCCCTCTGCTTTACAACCAGGCTCTCCTCCCTCGGATGAGATCCGCACCCTCCGAGACCAGTTGCTTTTACTGCACAACCAGTTACTCTATGAGCGCTTCAAGAGGCAGCAGCACGCTCTCCGGAACAGGCGGCTCCTCCGCAAGGTGATCAGGGCAGCGGCCCTGGAGGAACACAATGCTGCTATGGTGAGGGCCTGGGGCGCTGGCCGTGGTGTCTGTTTTGCTTTGTGTCAGCGTGGCAGCCAGTGAGGCCAGAGTTCTCGGTTCCGGCCCTGCTCGCTGGGCAGCTGGGGCCAGGCCACTCAGTCTCTGAGGTTAGCTGCAAATGGCGAGATCAGTAATTCCCTCCTAGCTCTCAGAGGCGCTGGGGACACTTGACTTTTTGTGTTTGTTTGCTTGGAATCAGCTATGATGATGAAGGGGTTGAGAGGTAATTTTATCTTTCCAGGTGCGCAGCTAGTTCTCCTAAAGCTATTTCATGCCATAGAATTGAAGCGTGTACAGTGCTGTGGATAGAAAGCCAATGAGATTTGGAGTTGAAGCATTGGCTCCATTAGTGTATAACCTTAGAGAAAAATTCGGCCTCTTGAAACCTTGTTGCCAGTTCTGTAACGTGAGAAGTTATAATAGTAACACCTCGTTTTTAAGTTCTGGTGATGAAAAGAACCGGTGTCAGTAAGTGCTTCCCCGACTCTTGCAGGGTGTAGGTGTCCAGTAAATGGCTGGTGTTTCAGGGAACGAATGAGGACCACGTGTTAGAGTCTTACTCTGCTCTTGGTGGCCAGGAACCCTAAAAGTGTGGGAAACAGCATGGGCCCCGAGAAAAGCTCTTTAAACAGCTCACAGTCCCCTGCTAGTGCGAGAGTGGGCAGACCTTGACCAGAAGCCCGGTGAGACCTCGTGAGCTTCTGGGTAGCGTGGAGAAGGTTTATGGCTCACTGTCCATGTCGGATCGTAGCTAAAATGCTGGCATCTCTGCTCTCTGCTAGAAAGATCAGCTAAAGTTACAAGAAAAAGACATCCAAATGTGGAAGGTGAGTCTGGAGAAAGAACAAGCCAGGTACAGTCAGCTGCAGGAGCAGCGTGACACTGTGGTGACCCAGCTCCACAGCCAGATCAGACAGCTGCAGCACGACAGAGAAGAATTCTACAACCAGAGCCAGGAACTCCAGGTACACACCGTGGCCGGGCAAAGGAGGCAGAGGGCCTGAGAGCCACTGGGAGAGTGGCAGGAGTGCCTCTGCAGGGTTGTCCCTTGGTCAGCTTCGCTACATGGTGCTTCACCCTCTGAGATCACAGCAGATAGACTCAGGTCTCTGTGTCCTAGGAGGGCAGAAGTCCCCAGCTTTCTTCATTCACCGCTCCCTTAGTGTCCATTCACCATGGAGCCTAGAGAAATGCGTGGTAGTCCACTCATGAAGGAGATCTGCGCAGTTCAGCAGCAGTTCGTGTGCTGACGGCTTAATAGCTGTTCGAAATAATACACGTATGTTTACGCTTTTAAAAAGTCCCAATATCTGCAGTTACTGAGGCCACGTGCATCTGGCAGCAGCGCAGCACAGATCCCAGCCTTGGCCTCAGAGTGAACAGTGACACCCTCACTTCCTGTTTCACGCTGATTTCTTGTGGTGCTTTCCTACCTTAGCAGCCACCCAAAGCCCAGCTTTGCAGAAGTACGGCTCCTCCAGGCACAGCGCGAGCCAGCATTGAGCTGCCAGCTGCCTGCAGCTAATTAGTAGTTCACATCACGTCCCCCAAATGTCACTGTGCATCCCTCCGAAACACCCATGCGTTTGCTTACAGTCCCAGGACTCTTCAGCGTGCATGGAAACTAAGGTCTTATTTTGTTTTTTTGTTTTATTAAATAGTAAGGGATTTAGAAATCAACCACAACTTACTTTTTAAGACAAAGACGTGCAAAGGCTGATGGCCCAGAATAGGAGCACAGTTGAGGAGCTGGGCACTCCCAGTCCTGGGTGGGCTGGCGGCCAGGTGGGCGGCCAGTGCTGCCATAGCTCCATGACCACATCTGTTTGGGCAGACAAAGCTGGAGGACTGCAGGAACATGATTGCAGAGCTGCGGGTGGAGCTGAAGAAGGCCAACAACAAGGTGTGCCACACCGAGCTGCTGCTGAGTCAGGTGTCTCAGAAGGTAAGCGTTGAGGAGATGCTGCCCGCCTCTCCCTTCGGTGGGACAGCTGTCTTCTGGAGTGTCTACGGTCAGGTCCCAGCAGGGAGTCGGACTGCCCCCTCTTGCCTTCAGAGGACGTTTGGCCACGTCAGGAGACGTTTTTGGTGCTACTGGCAGCTCATAGGTAGGGGCCGAGGTTCTGTCCAATACTGTGGTGTGCAGACCGCACCCCAGCGAAGACGTGTTTACCAGACTCCAGCCACGCATATCCTGGGGAGCCTTTCTCAGTACCTCGTGTACATAACTGTGAAAGTATGCGAAGGGTTTTGACTGTGATCCTCTGCACAGTACCTGCAGGTGAGTTTTCCTGGGGTTTCATCCGTGGACCCGGAGTCCCTGCCGTCCTGGCAGTGTACCCGTCCACCTGCTCTAGGTGTCCTGTGGTAGCCAGTTTGACGTAGTCCATCTGTGCTGCTTCCCTTTGCGTAGCACAGTTCTGAAGTGCATTTCTGCCCAGTTTTGTTGCTCTTTGGATGTTTTCGTCCCCTGCTAGCTGGAATCGGAAACAAACCGTGGGAGTTGCTTATTCTGCCTTACTGATGGACTCTTGTGTCCTAGCGGGTTTCCTGTTAAATGTCTGTTTCCAGTTTTGTGGAGCTGGACTTTTCACAGGGTGTGTTTTGGTCAGCTCTCCAACAGTGAGTCGGTGCAGCAGCAGATGGAGTTCTTGAACAGGCAGCTGTTGGTGCTTGGGGAGGTCAATGAGCTGTATTTGGAACAGCTGCAGAACAAGCACTCGGACACCACCAAGGTATGTGGCGCGGACCCAGGCAGTGTCACTCAGACCAGCTTTGTGAGTTGTTCCTCGTGGCAGGGTGGCCGTGTCCACCACTCCTCTCCCTGTCCCTGTACAGGCACTGTCCAGCAATTGTGTGCATGTGTGTCCCCTTGCTGGGTGGCTCTGAAATGGAGCCTGCCGTAAATAAGGAACCTGGTAGGGTAGGTACAGGACAGGTGTGAAGGTGTTTCCTCCTCTCGTCCTGCAGAGTGAGAGACGTGCCACTCGGGACTAAGGGCGTGTCCTGGTACACGCCACGTATGTACCGTCTTCGCTTACTCTGCGTGTTGAATCTAATTTCTGCTGATGGTCCTTCAGTCCTGGCGACGAGGCCAGTGATAAGATGATCTGATGTTAATTAGCGCCTCACCAGCAGCATCAGGCCGGAAGTTCCGTGTCAGTATAGATAGCCTCGGGTAACGCTGGCGAGCGAGTCGGGAATAGAATCTTAGTAGGAAATGCTCAGGTGCTTTCTGTCACAGCTTCTCCATCACACACGGGCCTCTCTTCAGGATTTCTTGGGCTTATGCTTTGTAAAGCGTCTTTTTTGGGCAAATGTGGAGTTTTCGCTAGACTGGTTTTGGGAGACCTGGGAGACGCTCTGAAAGCTTGCTGGGGAGCATTGCTGAAGCCTCCCCCCACCCACCCCTACAGAGGCATAGAAGGGACGGCTGTGTCATGTGGGCCACCATTGGGCATCCTCAGATACTTTGGAACCTGTTTCACAATAAAACAAGAACGATGATGCTGACTCATATTAGGTGCCTTCAGTTGTAAACCACACAAAGGAAACAAGCCAAAATGGCCTCACATTGGGACCTTTTTTATTGTTTCCTTTGACAAGGAGTCCCGAGGCCGGCGAGTCCCAGGGTGGTCAGCTTAGCGATTGGGGCAGCATGAGAGAGCCAGACTCTGATGCTTCTGCACTGCCCTGCCTGTGCTGTCCATTCTGTCTTCTGCCCAGCTGTTGCCATGGTTGCCAGGTAGTGCCCAAGGTCACTTGTCCCGGGTGGATACTGAGTGTTGGAAAGCAGAGAGCGTCACTCCCAGAAACCTCTGCGAACTCCCAACATCCCTTGTTGGCCAGGACTGAGAATTGTGCACAGATGTACCCATCTCTGCCTCCAGCCAGCTGGGATTTGCCCCTGGGCCTGGAGCTGGGGTGGGACTATTTGGGCTGGCAGGGAAGCAGGCAGGCGTCCGAGCATCATGTGGGAATGACCGGCTGGTTGGCGAAGGTGACTGCGAGCTGTGGACCGTCTGGACACAGTTCCTTGGGTGATTAGCCGTAAATACATGCGGTCGTCCTTGGTATCCCTGGAGTCAGCTCCAGAGCGTCCCTCATGTGGAATGGCGTGGCATTTGCTTCTCATGACCCACAGCTGCCATCCTGCACTTTGATCACGTTTAGGCTACTGAGAACCTAGTGAATGTGCTATGTAAATAGTCGTACACTGTATCGTTTCGGGAAGAGTGGCAGGAAAAGTCTGTGCATGTTCCGTAGTTTCTTTTTGAACATTCACAGTGTGGGGTTGGCTAAATCTGTGGATGTGGAGGGTTGGTTGCTGTTGCTTGTGACCACGTCCTCTCCTCTGCTGATGTCTGCAGCCATTTAGCACAGCTGGAGTGGCCACGTGGTCTCAGCTGGCCAGTGTTTCCATCTCTTGGGGTCTGTGCCCTGGAAACTTGTGTCTACTGGCCCACCTCCTTGCACTTTGTGGTTTACTACCTTTTAAGGGAGCAAGCATAGGGCTATGAGTTTTGTGTTACGTGTACACTTTACAGTGGTGCACTCACACGTAACACAAGCTGCTAGAGAAGTACCCTTTCCACCTCTTCTCTGCACATTAGTGTACACTTGCCCTGGGTTTGCAGTGGCAGGGAGCCCATCCACCTGGGCATGATGGACAGATCTCGTCAGCACTGCCCTTCTTGAGCAAACCTGCTCCATTCCTGTTGCCTTCTCTAGCTCTACCTCAGCTGCTGCTAGGAGAGGGGAAAAATAACATAGGAAACAAATGACCTACACTGTCCTATCTGTGGACACCGGCACATGTCGCTAGCTTTGTGCCAATGTATGTGATTGCACGATGACTGTTTTATAGTATGCTTTTTTTGTATCTTTCACCGATGCTGTATCCTCTCTGACAACTCACAGATGTAAAATGTGCTTTGTATCACTGCCTCCCTGATGTGGTGTTTGCTGCTCTTTGCTCTTACAAATACATTGTGATAATGATTTTTGTACAAAGTGTCTATTCGCGGTCAGATTATTTCCTTCGGGTTAGACTTCAGGGAAGAGCTTCTGGTTAATGCCTAACCAGCTTTCTTTCCAGAAAGTTGTACTTGCTTATATTTCTACCCCTGGGGCACTGAAGTGCCCTCTCAGGGCTTCTGACAGCTTTTCAGAGGGGATATGGTGTGCTCATTTTCTGCAAGTACTAACTGAAATCTCTTAGGAAGTGGAAATGTTGAAAGCCGCATATCGGAAAGAACTAGAAAAGAACAGAAGCCACGTTCTCCAGCAGAATCAGAAGCTCGATACCTCCCAGAAACGGGTTCTGGAACTGGAATCGCATCTGGCCAAGAAAGACCACCTTCTCCTGGAACAGAAGAAGTACTTGGAGGATGTCAAGGCCCAGGCAAGGTAACTTCCATAAGGAAAGGTTCAGGCAGTGAGGGGCTCTGGTACGTGCAGCCTCCCATCTTCTGAGTGGGTCTGTATGTTTCAGAGGACAGCTGCAGGCTGCGGAGAGCAGGTATGAGGCTCAGAAAAGGATCACGCAGGCGTTCGAGTTGGAGATCTTAGACTTGTATGGCAGGCTGGAGAAAGATGGCCTCCTGCAAAAACTCAAAGAGGGAAAAGCAGAAGCAGCGCACTCTGCAGGAGAAAGGTAGGAGCCAAGAGTTTTACCTGGCCTTGCGATGAAGCTGCCACTAGCAGAGCCAGGACTGTGTTGCATGACAGTGGAAGTGGCAGGTACAGCCTGTCAGAGAGGGCCTCAGCACTCTTTCAGAGAGCCGCCCTGCCTCACCTTTCCTGGCGGTGCCCAGCGGTCTTCCCACCTCCCCTTCCGGCTTGCATCATGGGGTCCACCATTCACAGGACAGACTGCCATCGAGGGTCCCTCATTGTAACTGAGGTTTCTCTGTGCCGTCTCCTGCTTGGCTGTGCTGTTACACAGCAGAGCAGGCCAGCAGAGTTTGGTTCCAGGAAGCAGATATCCATGCAATTCCACATCTCCCAAACATGGGTGTCAGAGTCACCAACTCCTTTTTTCTCCCCCGATTTCTTGCAGGCTTGACTGTTGTAACGATGGCTGCTCAGATCCCATGAAAGGGCACAACGAAGAGGCATCTGGGCACAACGGTGAGACCAAGACCCCCAGGCCTGGCAGCGTGCGGGGAAGCAGTGGAGGCCGAGGAGCCGGAGGAGGTGGTGGCAGCAGCAGCAGCAGCAGTGAGCTTTCTTCCCCGGAGAAACCCCCAAGCCAGAGGGCGGGCCCCTTCAGCAGCCGGAGGGAAGCCACTATGGGTGAGCCCGCCGCCAGCATCCCAACTGTCGGTTCACTGCCCAGTTCAAAAAGCTTTCTGGGCATGAAGGCCCGAGAGTTGTTTCGAAACAAGAGTGAGAGCCAGTGTGATGAGGACGGCACAAGCATCTGCAGCCTCCCTGAAAGCCTAAAGACAGACCCGGGCAAGGACTCGGGTGTGGAAGCCAAGACTTCCCTGAACCTAGACGGCCCGCACCCTTCTCCCCCCAACCCGGACAGCGTTGGGCAGCTTCGGATCATGGACTACAATGAGGCTCATCACGAACACAGCTAAGGGGGAGGCTCAGTCAGTGTAACTTGCGTCTTGTTGGCACAGAACAGGAGGTGTGAGTGCATGTTGGAGGTGTTCCCGACTCCAGGGTCTGAGTGGTTGCTCGTGCGTGGAAATGGGACAGGGGTCCCCTTGACATCTGAGCGGGTGCAGAACGGTTTTGGGTCTGGCAGTGAAATGCCTCTTCAGCTCCCCCACCCTGCCGCTAACCCTTTCATTCACCCAACAGTGTGTACTAATTGAGGGCCAGCCAGTGTTCCTCAGTAGCTTTCCCCCCCCCCCCATGGTTGCGTCCTTTGGACCTGTGCAATACGAGGCCAAATTCCACCTCTGAGTCTGGCACTGCTCTGCTTTCCCGATGCTCGGATCACCGGGGCTCTCGGTTAGACCAGGCGGTTGGTAGCCTTGCAGGTAAGTTCAGTCTGTTCCTTCTGTGAGGGTGTGGCCTGCAGAGCTGATTGTCTTCATGCAGAAGCATCTGTGGGAGACCTTTCCCCACTTTTGCTTCTGAAGTTCAGCATCTACAGCAACAGATCTAGAAAAACAAGGGTTCATTCGCCTCCCGTTCTTCTGGTGGTTCTGATACATCTGAGGAAGTTGTGTGTGAATGAGCACCAGTTGTTTCACAAGTGTAGCTGGTGCTGTGGAGACCACACACCCTCGTCCTCTTGGAAAGCTCTTGTCCCTCCTTCCCCCACTACCTCTTATTTATTTGGTGTTTGCTTGAACGCTGGTACCATGCTGAGCCCGGGCTGGCCTGAGGGCGGTGACCCTGCACCGTGGGTGGCAGGAGGCCACTTGGAGAGGTTCCAGGAGCTCTCTGCGTGTGGAGTCGTGCCTCTGGGCTGCTGTCTCATCCTGAGCCTTTGGTGTAGCCCTTCAGTCTGGCTGCCTTCCCTTGAGTTCCCTGTGCCTCTTTTGTGTCACCCGTTTCAGGCATCACGGCAGAGGGGCCACGGAGGTTCATTTTCTTCAGAGCTTATGTGAACGTTTTTAAGGTGGGGTTGTGTCATTCCTGTCACTTCTGGGTTTCACACCGTTTCTGACTTTCAGGGCTGGCTCTCTCAGGAGTTTGATGTTGTCACCCTCTGCAGTGTTCAGAATGACAGAGCAACCGAAAACAGATTCTGGGAGGGTGTTGGAAAGGCCATTGCCTGCCCCACGGGGCTGCTGCACATGCTCAGGAGAGGTGATGCCAGTCAGACACTGATGTCCGTAGGGAATCCCAACCCAACAGATGCTCCTAAATAAACACTAGAAGCCTGAGAGCTGTTGCCTGGTACTCCAGCCCAGCCCAGGAGAAATTTAGCAAAAAGAGCCCTGTTTGTGTTCTTTCAGAGGAGAGAAGGGTTCAACCGTGAGAAATAGAAACCAACGGTACGAAATCTTAGCTTCCAGCATGCAAGGGGAGTCTTTATTCCAAAGCGTGGCAGTAAGTGTCCCAGCGTCCCCGACTGCAGGGAGCCAGGCCACTAGAGACTGCGCGTCACTGCGGCGACAGTGATGAAGGCCTGGGACGGGGCTGGTGGTGTGACTGCAGCCCACAGAGCCTGGCGTTTGTTGCCGTCGGGGGTGAGATGCCAGCGAGGCCACACTTTTAAGGCAGCTTTGTTCAGAGGAAAGCTCACAGTCCGGCACATCCTGGCTCCTGGTTCCATGTTAGAGGAGGACAGCATGAGCACGTTCAGAACGGGAAGGGAATGTTACAGATGTGCTATCGAAATCGGTTTGAAATGCTTTCTTCTTTCCCGAGCCTGAGAGATCTGTGCCCCAGAACAAAGATACCAGGCATTTACCTCGAAGCCTTTTCCTTAATTAGCAAAGAGAATGTAAGAAAAACAAATGGATCTTAAAAACGGACAGATTGTGAACTACAGGGAAGGAAGGAGGCAGTACGGTACAGTGAGGCTCTCCGGTCGCTCGGGGGCTCTCTGTCTCCCCAGCTTTCCGAGCCTGGGTGGGCCTGGCATGGTCCCGCTCATGCTCCATTGTGCTCCAGAAGGCCGTGGCTTTACTCAGCCAAGCTTGGAAGGTGAAGTTACTCTAGCAGAAGCATAGGTCTTTATGTTGCAAAGGGCTCCAGTGTGGACGGTAGAGCTTGCCCAGAGTCCGTGTGTCACTGGATTCTGCATCACCCACTGGTGCTGCAGGCAGTCGTTTTAAGGGGGAAGGCGTTGGGTAGGAGAGGAACTCCTGAGAGGCAAGTAAGGCCTGCACAGGTGTCAGAACAGTTAGTGACGGGCAGAGCCCGTCTTGACACTGATTAGCCTGGTTTCTAGTGTTGGGGCTGGGCGGCCTCCATCCAGAGTCCCGGTGACCCCTCTTGTGAAGGCTGAGATGCATAACTTGAACTCCCGCCCCACCCGGGGAGCCTAGTCTGTGTCTCACTCGGCATGAGTCTGTTTAAAAAGTAGCGCTGCAGTATTGTTTGGGGCATGGAGGAAGAAGGAAAAGGAGTAGGAAATAAGCACAGGTCTCCGACAGAACCTTCGTGGGTTTGAAGAAGCTCCTGATAAGGCTGCATCATAAAATCTATTAAAATTGTTACTGTAGAATTAGGAGAAATACGTGGTCATGGATATGAGAGACAAGAATATGAGAAGTAGGATGTGCCAGGGTCATTCCTGGTTCTGGAGGTGTTGGAAGTCCTTGGCAGGAGTGCTCAGGCCAGTGTCACTAGCACGGGGCCAGTGACTTCCCTAGGTTTGCCAGCAGCTTCCGGGAGAGAAGGCCACCTGGCCGCCAGGAACCCGCTGCAGAAGGTGCTGTGTGATGCGGCCAGGGACCAGCGGCCCAAACCGCTCCTGGAATGCACTTTGTCAGCCCAGGAAGAGTTCCCGGAAGCCACTGACAGGAAAATTTGCTTCCTCCTAACCTTCCTACCATGGTCGGAGGCCAGAACTTTCCTGGGCAAAAGCAAGATAGCAACAAACCCCAGACTGAACGTTGACAGCATCTTATACTTTCCGGTGATTTGTTGAGAAAGACGGAACAGCAGCAGCTCAGAGGATGTGTGCAGTGGCTGTGTGGGAATGTCCCTGGGCTGGAGCACAGCGCTGCGCCTGGCCTTGAGGGTAGAAAGCTGGGTGCGTGTTTCTGTGCTGACGGTAAAACGAGTGTGCTGTGACGGGCCAGAGCAAATGGCCACCAAACACCGGCACCCACCCCTGGAAGCCAGAGAGGACTGGGGGCAAGTGGAGGTATGGGGAGGGCGCTTGGCACTTCTTGCTGAGCACGAAGGGGTGGAGGCAGTGTGGACAGCTGGGGTGGCTCGGGCACAGCACAAGCTCAGCCCGCCAGAGGTGCACATGCCTCGTCCCCACGCTCCAGATTGACCTCCACAAGTGCTGGGAGTGGGCCCAGTCTGAGAACGTCCGCAGTCTTTGCTTCCGGAGCCTACCCCGGGCTGCTGCGGTCAGCATGGCGCCCAGTGAGCTCCTCTCACAGGTCAGGGCTGGTCCTAGGCTGCTCCTGGAATCCTTGTTCCCATGGCTTGTCTCCTACCCGCCATTCCCCAGGGAGCCGGGCACCGGTGCGCCCCTTTGCCATGCGGCCTGTGGTGTAAATGCTCGCCCGGGAGAAGAGTGGCTGCAGCTGTACAGGAATCCCCCCCATTTCCTGCACACCCACCCCGTTCCCCACGCCCCACCACTTTCAGCTTTGAGAGGAGTTAATGAAGGCTAGGCAGCTGTGTGCCCCTTCCCGGTGCCGACACCTTCTCCTCCGTCCTCCATCGGAGGAGACCCCAGGGCCCGCATGCGCCTCGCACAGTGTTTGGATGGGAGGGTGCGGTGCTCTGGCTGGCAGAGGGGCAGCTGGGCGTTTGGCGCCGGGAAGTCAGTGATCTCTCTAGAAGACGTCTGTGGACCACAGATTGATTACAGAGAAACAGGTTTTGCTAAGCTAAAGTCTAGTTTTGTAACTCAATCATGGATAAACCATATGTGGGTAAACTTGCAGTTTAAAGGGATCCCATCAGGGAAAAGAATTCGATTTTTTAAACAGACTGCTTTTAGTTAAATGGAAGAAAGTCGCTTCTTGTCAAAAGGTTTAAACTTTCCTGCCTTGATCTTAAAAGCATGTCACACAGTCCACGTCGGGTGCCATAGCTATGAATTGCAAGAGAACATGGTACAATCTCAGTGAACGGGAGTTGGAATCAAAAGGGTTTGCTGTCCTCATTAGGATGTTCTAAAATGTCAAGGCAGTTGCTTGTGTTTAACTGTGAACAAATAAAAATTTATTGTTTTGCACTACTCCGCTGTGCTGATGTGTGTGATGTATGCGGACCTGGGGGTGTGTGGAGGGTGTGGTAGATGGGGTTGGGGACTGGTCCCAGGATGTAGCCAGCTGGGACAGTGTGGCCTCTGGAGTTTGTCTCCGAGGGCGTTTGTGTCCTGGGAAATCAGTGACCTGCAAATCTCTGCTCTGCCCCAGAGAATCACTTGGCGTTCACCCACCAGAGAAACCCTGAGCCAGCCCGCCGCTGCTGGTCTGCAGCCCCACCCGGCCTGGCTCTCACTCAGTGCCTGCTCCCTGATGGCCTGGCTGGGTTGCATTTCCTGGAGTCCTTTTCTGCTGAGGCCAGCGGACATCTATTCTGCTGCGATCTCGCTGTCTCTGAGCCTTGCCAGCTGCAGTTGTGTGCACGCTGAGGGAAGGCACAGCTATGGTCACCACCTGCTCTGTGCCCCTCAGGCATTCAGCAGAAGACAGGAAATGCCCTTTCCTTGATTTTCAGGTCCACCCTGGCTCCCAGTTGTGCAGCCTGACAAATGGGGAAGAGGAGAGCATCACGGTGGGGCTGTCAGGTGTGAGCCTCAGGTGAGCTGCGCCTGGAGCTCAGCACTGCTCTGCCCGTCTTAGTGGCAGAGGCAGCTCCTGGGAGACAGACTCAGAAGTGGCAGTTTGGGATTTGTCTGAAAAATTCAGGTTTTCTTGTCTGAGAAGTTCTCACTAGACAAGGAGTTACTTCCCACCCTTGGAGAAGCATCCGCGGGCTGGCCCTGGCCCTGCGGCATGAACCTCTTTGGCCCCTTTCTGGAGATGGGTGTACACTTGTCCCTGTCTGTGAGTGGCTTCACCCATGGTTGCTGCCCCATGAACTCGGATATCTCGGGAGAAGCACAGGTTTTCTTTCAGGGCTAAACCCCAGGAAAGCAACCAGGCAGAGAGGCGGTAGAACACTTTATTCTTGACTGTATCCCCCCGAGGAAGCAACAGTACAGAAGCTAAGTCGTCCCCTGTGAAGGGAAAAACCAACAGTCAGAGTTGACTTCCAGCAAGCTCCGAAGCCAGGGATACCTTTTACAGTGTCCAGGCCTTAACAGTGCTTCCTCAAGAGCCACAGAATTGAGTTCCTCCGGCTTCTGGCACGGTCTCCCCATTCCAAGTAAAGGAGAGGGACATCTGAGTTCTTCCCCTTCGTTCTGGCCCAGGGCCGTGAACACAGGCTGACCCTCGAGCTTCTGTCGGGCAGCAGGAGCAACCCTGTCCTGCCGAGCTCCGGCCTCTCCTCACTGCAGGGCTGGAGCCTCAGCTGGGGCAGGCCAGGCACCCTGGTGGGTGCCCCTCTTCTGGGACACCCACTACTAACACCACACTGTTGGGGAGCTTGCTAAGCGGGGGTCCTCTTCAGTAGCACAGAGATTAGAATGAAAAGTTAGAGGTGAAAGCAAGAGGAGAGAGATTTTCAACAGTGTATTGGCCCGCTTCGGGGTTCACAGCAGGGACTGTGGGTACCAGTAAGAGTGGGTCAGCCGATTAAACAGCACCCCACAGCGCGGCGGGTCCCTGGCCCTGGGTTACAGTTTCCCACCAGGTGGTCTCCAGGGCGGCTTAGAGTGTCCTTTGCCCTTCCCCCTGGGTCTGAGGCTGTCTCTCGCAAGGTGCCTACACTCGAGTTTCCTCAGCCATGACAGAGGTTGGGTGGCTGCCCCGGTGGCTTTCCGGCAAGCGGGGGGCACACTCACATGCTGCAGCGCCTTACGGGGCAGCTTCTCCGAGTGGGCGATCCATTCTTTCATGGCGTCCAGGACAAGGGGGATGAGGCTGACCACGCCCCCATAGTGGTTCCGGGCCTCGTCGCAGCTCAGGTGGTTCACCACGTCGTGAGGGTACCTGGGCCGGCACAGGAGCTGGCTCAGCAGGGTCGGGGCCGAGTGCCCCGGGTATTTCTGATGGGAAAGGTAGGAGCTGTGGACCACTGACCTGCGGTTAGGTGCTGAGGGATCTGCTGTCATCTTTTCAGAATGCACCACCGGGTATCTAAAGGTCCCCCTGACTTGGGTACATGGGGTCGGGAGAAGGATCCACCGTATCAGTGCTGCCATCCATGGGATGGGCCCTGGGTCCCATTTAAACTTTGTGTCCCAGTGAGGACTTTCATGAGCTTCTGGGAGTGACTCTTCCGTAAGCCTTTTTCCCTGGGCCTGGTGCCAAGTCCAGCGAGACGCTGTGTGCCCAAGGTGTGGCCTGGTTTTATGTAGGTTTTGTGGAGTCAGCGTCATTCCAGTGCACCCACAGGGACAGGGATTTTCCTCTAAGTCCGAACAGTGGTACGTGACCCACACCCGGCCCTCCCCACAGGCCCCCCACGCAGCAAAGCCTCTCTAGGGCCTGGGGGACTCACTTTGCTCTCAGGCTGCTCAGGTCATTGCTTTGGCTGACCAGGGTCTTGCATTTCTCCAGGAGGTTGTTGGTGACCGGGGTGCCAGAGTGCAGGGCCTCGAAGTGCTGGCAGAGTTTGTTCAGCTCCAAACAGATGTCCAGAAACATGAGCAGGATCCGCCGGTCCGTAGAGTTGTAGCAGTGGTGTTCCATGTAGCTCTGAACCTGCAAAGCCCAGCGTGACGTGAGCCGGGGAGATGCCCCCCAGGCCAGCAGCTCCCCGTCACCTCCAGCTCAAGTGCAGACCACGACACACAGCTGATGTCGTTCAGTGTCCAGACGCGCGGTTTTCCTGGCCTGGTTTCACTCCTTCCCTACTGTTGTGAGTCTCTTGTCGCAGATACACACTCCGAGTGGTGGAGGTTCAGAGACGTGGAATATCTTGGTCAGCGCCAGCTCAAGGTCTCTCTCAGGCCGTTCCACACCCCATTTCCCCAGCACCAGGCCAGCCACCACCCGAGACCTTCCATGCCATAATCCCACACATGGGACCCACCTGAGAACTGTGGCCAGGGGCGCCTCTGCTGAGGAGGAATCCGAAGGAGTGGGGACCCTTTGGGTTTCAGAGGTACTGTGTGTTTGCAGGGGCCGGAGGAGGGACAGGAGGTAAACGGAACCCAGGAAAACGATAATCCATGTGAGAGAAATAAAATGTTGCCTCTACTGCACCCCACACTCAGTATCAACTCTAGGAGGGTCGAGAGTTTAAATGCCAAGCACAGCACTTTAAAACCCCCCGTTAGTCTGTTTAAGAAGTATTGCCCGATTCAAAAATGGGCATCTGAAATGAACAGACATTTCTCAGACAAAGAAGTAAAAACAGCAAGTAAGTATATGAAAAAATGTCCCACATCACTGGTCATCTGAGAGACGCAGATGAAAACAACACTGAGATTCCACCTCACCCCACAAAGAATGGCTGCTATCAAGAAATCAAACAATAACAAATGTTGGCGGGGTTGTGGGGAGAAAGGAACCTTTCTCCGTGGTTGGTGGGAGTGTAGACTGGTCCAACCACTATGGAAGTCAATATGGAGATACCTCAAAGAGCTGGGACTAGAGGTTCCATTTGACCCAGCCATCCCTCTGCTGGGTATCTTTCCAAAAGAATTAAAAGAATCGTATCACAGAGATATATGCACACCCATGTTTATAGCGGCACAGTTTGTAATAGCTAAAACTTGGAATCAGCCCATCTACCCATCTGTTGGAAACTGGATAAAGATGTGGTTTTTCTATAAAATGGAATATTGCTCAGCCATAAAGAATGAGAAATTAGATTCATTCATAGGAAAATGGATACATATTGAGGATATACTCCTAAGTGAAATAAATAAGTCACACGTGTAAATACCAAATAGTTTCTCTGGTGTGAATAAACTATAATAGTACATAAGATCCTAATGGGATAATTGACAATGTGAACTAGGAAGAAAGGGGCTAAAGGTGTAGGGAAAGTGGGAAGGGTAGGGGAAAGGTAATAAGGGAAAAGAAAAAATATGAGAAAATGGAAAGGAAGTGTTTGTAAAGGGGGAGGGAGGGGGGTGCAGGGAGGGCAGGGACAAGGGGAAGAAATGAGAACCAAGACCTGTCACGTAAAGGTACAAGGTCCCAATGATGAATGTAACTGTACTGTGTACCTAAAATGTACCAATAAACTCAATGAGGAAAAAATAAAAAAAGAAGTATGGGAGTCTTTCTAACAGAATCCACACTAGGGGATAAGAATACTGATTCTCTGATCTACTCTCAACTCTGTCTTGAGTGGGTCCTTCGTGTTGTGGTCCTTCTCCACTTACCTGAGACCACCCAGTACCTGTGTCTGTGGCAGGGCTGGGACGAGAAGCCTGATCTGGGCAGGACCTGGCTCGGGTCTGGGTCCCATGAACTGACCCGTTTATTTCCTAGCTGATTAGTTGTCTCCAGTCTGATGATGTGTGGATGTCACCTGCCTCCCTGGCACCCAAAACTTCCTGTCTGCACAGGCTTCCCTTTCCCCAGTGTTCTGCCCTGCTTCCTCCCACGCACAGTGGAGACTTCCGGCCACACACCTGCACAGGCACCTGCAGCCCCCCAGAGCTGTGTCACTGGGCCCCTGGGTGTCTGCCCTGGGCTTAGGGAGGGCAGGTGGGGGTCAGACCACCAGGCCAGGGCTCACCAAGGGCTGCCAAGGTGGGTGGCACACCTACTTTTGGAGGCTGAAAACCTGCCCAGCACCCTTGAAAGGCCAAACTCCCAAGGATGGAGTCAGCGACGTTCAGTCAGTTCAGGAGCCGTGGGCTCCACACTACAGAGCAGTGGGTCCAGGTGAGCTTGCGCAGATGTCCCTTTTCTGTATGTATTTGGCATTTGTTAAGTTGAAAAGGGGGAGGAAACTTTACCAGGATCTGGAAAAGAAACTCTTAAGGATGTTGCCAGCAAGTTGCCTGTTCTCCATGGCCGTTTCTCCTAAGTAGCACTAACCCCTCCCTCTTCGAGACTGGTTCCCCTCAGTGAGCTGACTGTGCAGTGACATCTTCAGATCTGAGGATCTGGCCCCTGCGTGTGATCCTGACTGCTGTGGCTCAGGACCCCAACTTCCTGAAAAGCCTCCAAGACCTGCGGAGTAAACATAGACAACCACTAACCCTCCAGGAGACAGGGTTAACTATGAAGGGCCATCAGAGCAGTCACAGTGGGCTTGGCCTGTTGCAACGTCTCCATCCCCAGAAGGATCTGGAGGCAGGCACCAGGACCACTTGTTGCCTGTGCATCCCCAGGCTCGGCCTGAAGCTGGCAGATGACACCAGACACTTGAGTACTCAGTATGGACAAACCTGGGCCGAGAGGTTTCCATGTATGCTTTCCTGCATCTGCATAACGTATGAGGAAACAGGCTTAGTGATATAAAGTCGCCAGCACCAGCCTCAGAAGCGGCAGGCATTTAGACCCTGGCTGAATCTTGAGCTCAATTTTAACCGCTGTGTTATCCACTCACATATCCAGCGGGGGATAAATGAAGGACCTGCTCCATTCGTTAGGGTCTGAGTCACTGTGGCACCAGTGTCCCCCCAGCCCCAGGCCTCCATTTCATCTTTCCTTCGAGGGCACTGGGCTGTGTGAGGCCCCTGTGACCTGCACACAGCCCCCGCCCAGGGCGCCACCTGTCCAATGCTGGAGATGGGCCGGATCTTGTCATGTGCATTCTCCCTGCAGTGCTCCAGGGCCCCAATGAAGGTGAACTGCTGCTGCTGGAAGAGCTTGTACTTCTGCTCCACAGCACGGAGCGACTCTTTGACTTCATTCATCGACATCGTCTGTGGTCACCTGCGGGACACGAGGGATCTACGGGGAGGAAGAAAGCCATGAGCTCCCAGAGGACGATACATGGGGCAGCTCTGGAGGGACGGCTTCCCTGGAGGAGGAAGACGCAAGCCATGGCCCTGTGTGTGCAGCACTGTGCTCAGCTGGTCTCTCGCCGCAGCCCTGAGGGGCAGGAACTGCTTTCATCTGATTTGAGGTGTACTCGCAGGAGATGCCCATCCAATTACCCTCCAGGAGTTTGCCATGAAATGTGACTTCTTCCCTCAGTGCTGGACAGTTTCCCTCGTCCTGTTTCTCCATATTGGAGGTGTAAGTGTGCACGCATGTGTGTGCGCGGTCGCACACACACACACACACACACACACACACACACACACAGCCTACAGTGCCTCCTCGTGATGTCAGCAGAACATGGGATTGAGGGATTTCAAACTGGATGTCAAACCAACAGCATTCATGTTTGGATTTCAGAAGATGTGCTATTCTGCAGCTGCTGGAACATCTGGGAATTCTTCCCATGGGCTAAGCAGGGGGAAGAGTAAGCACTCAGTTGTCCAGTGTGAGAAGACACAAGTCTCCCAGCTCTGAGCTTGTGCAAAACATTCCAGGTCACGGATTTATGGAAGGCACCTCTGCAGGCCAACTCCCCTTGACTTCAGGCGGGGCCAGAGGCCCCAAGATAAGGAATTTGCCCAGCATGTCACAGTGAGTCCATGTCAGAGACACCCTGGGTCCCAAGCTTCCTGATGGCGAACCAGCATCCTTGTTGCTGCCCCATCTGGCTGTCCCTCCACTGCCACCAAACACCAGCACACAGAGCCCAGGCTCCAACAGGCCATCCTGAGCCACACAAGCAGGGGGGCATCAGAGACTGTACTTTTGTGGAGTCCAAGCAAGTGGCAAAGGACAGAACCCAGCAAGGGCAAGCTTGAGGATGGAAGGCACATTCCTGGTTTCCAGACAGGCCCCAGTGGAGAGGCGAACAGACCAGGGTAGGGTCTTTATGTTCCCCTCAGCATCCTGAGCCTCCAAGCAGGGCTGGGGCTGGGAGGATGTCTCCAATGGCAGCAAGGAAAGAAAAGGACATGTAGGAGTGGACCAGAAGAAACACCAGTTGCAGCTGATCAGACAGGCAGCAGAGGCCCACGAAGGAGCTGGCTGCAGAGCCAAGGAGTGGCTTGAAAATCGTGCCCCATCGATCTGAATGGGCCTGCTGCAGATTAAACAGAGCATGTGCCATCCCTGCCATCAGCCGGGAGCAGGTGCGGCTCCCCTGTGGGTGAGCCTGGGCCAGGGCCTTTGTCCCAGACCCTCCACCCTCAGCACACCTGCCTGAAGTGGGCACCTGCCCTGCCCCTTGAGTCCTTCCTCACACAGCAGAAGTCAGGGGAGGGAGCCAGGATCTAGGAGGACACCTCAACCTCAGCAATCAGGCAGAAAAATGGTTTTTAAAAAAGTTAACCCCTTAAACAAGCCACACAGAATAAAGTAACAGAAAAAAAAAAAAGAACTGATATAATACTGTGCCTGGTCATATGGGAGCCGCTGGCAAAAGGAAAAATCAGAAGTAATGATCCTGTCTTTATTTACATTTTTGATATCTTATTCTAAAGTAAATAAATCAAGATCATCAAATATCGACCCTGATTATTGAGATTTCTAGCGACCCTCACATTGTATGCGAAGCCTCACTTGCCTCGCTCTGACCCAGCCCAGGGCTTCCACACAACTCGGGCTGAAGCCCCAGTGGCACAGAGGTAGGTTTCCGGGCCGACTGCAGTGCGCCCACTTGGCCTGGCTTTGCCTGCTGTGGCTGGCAGTGGTTGAGGTGGCCCAGGAGTCACACGGGCCTAGGTTCAAATCGTGGGTCCACCCCTTTGTGCCAACCTCAGGATGTCACCAAGCCTGTGTCCTGACCTGCAGTCGGGCGATGGCAGCATCAGCCGCCCAGCCTTGGGGTGAGCGTTACATGAAGAGAGCGGAAGGTGTGAGCTCCAGCACTCAGAGTACGGCGCTGCTGCTAGGGAAGCCATCGGAGCTTTCTGTACTTAAACTGTGCATTCCAGGGAGAGGACAAAGGCAAGCCCTCCCTGGAGGAACTCGTCTTTAAGAGGGGGAGGTCAGAGCAGAGCTAAGGAGCACAGGAAGCAGGGGAGGGCTCTGCATGGGGAAGATGTGAGCCATGCAGGGGATCTACAGTGGGCTCCAGCCCTCAATGGGATCCTGGCCTGAAGATGGGCACCGACCCCACCCTGAGGACGGCTGATCACCACTCAGGGCGTGCTTTATCTCACATCCTCACCACAGCCTTGAACGGGGGACCAGTGTTGTCCCAAGAGACAGATCCCGAAGGAGAAATGAAGTAGCTGGGAAATGGCCAAGCCTGGACTCCTCACCCAGCCCTGCCTGGGTTTTCCTTCTGGGATCTTAACTTGGTTCCGTACATCCCTCTCCACTGGCCTCTTCTCCTCCTTTCCTTCCTCCTCTCTCCCTCCTCAATCCCTCCCCGCTGTTCCTTAGAGACAAACACAAACAGGCCAGACACCAGAGCCACCGGTGGGCAGGCAGGGAAAATACCAAGGTTCTGAGCAGCGGTCCCCACCCTTCCCAGGTCCGCTGGCCAGGGCTTTGCTTCCTCCGCTCTCTCCAAGGTCTAGAGACCTTTCCCCACCCACAGCGATGCAGACTTGCACCCAGAAGGCTGCCTTTTGTGTCCCCCTCCCTGACAACCTCTTGGGGTTTCCTGGGGCTGTCAAGTTCTCCAAGCATACAGTGCTACCTTGGCTGGTAGCCCCAAGAGCCCCTGAGCACCACACTGACTTGGTTCTTGATCCTAGCAACTTGTGACGTGCACACCAGGAATGTCACGAGAGGGGCTGTAATAAGCTATCCAAAGTGATCTGCCACCAAATTAGTGGGGATGAAAGGCACAAAGGTACAGGCAGCTTTCCATCTGGGAGAGGAGGGAGGAAAAATGATTACCTGATAGATTTTAGGCTTTAATTGATTTGTATTTTCCTAGGCTGCTACAGAAGATTAAATCATGGTATGAAAAGCGCCTAGGGCTTAAAATAAGTGAGGAGAAAGGCAAATCATTTCAGAAATGTCCAGAAAGCAAACCAAACCTCTCCGGTGCAAACTGCAGGCTTGGTGCTTGTGTTCTTTGTTTGGGGGAGCCAGCTTCCTTTTTATCCCCAGCTGCCTTCGCAGTGGTCTGACATGCCGACCAGGACCTGAGCGCTTTGGAGGAAGAGGCAGCCCTGGCTTTTCCTTCCAGCGTGTCTCTGGGCCGGGGTCTGGGCGCTTAGTTCCAGCCCTGCCTTAACGGGGGACCCTGAGCACAACTCCCCTTTCTGGGCCTCCGTTTCTGCATCTGTAGAATGGGCGAGGACCCTGCCGATTCTCACTCTCCCTGACTGTGAACAGCAGCGGAGGAGGAAAGAGGTCCACAATGGACCTGTCCAAAGTCAACCGGCATCTGATCTCCAAGTTCCTATCTCACCAATGGGAACGGTGCCTGTTTCCCCAGGCCTTTGCAAAGATGAACATGGACAGCGGCCCTGAGTATCAGTGTTCGCTGAGGGCCACCGCCGTCGGAGGCGTTCACACCCCCAGTGCACCGGGAGCCCCTCGCTGCGTCCTCCACCTCGCCTCTCCCCACCCGCTCCGACCCAGGCTTGCGGTGGCGCCCACACTCCTCTTTACCCTTGCTCGTCCTGCAGCGGCCTCGGCTCCCAGAGCGCCCCGCAGCCCGCGCGACTCCGTGGGTGTGCGGCCCCGGAGGGGGAGGCCCTCCTTAGGACCAGGGGCGCCGGGGTGGGGTGGGGTCGCCTCAGAGGGCCATTGCGCCTGATTGTGACCGCGGTGCCATAGCAGCCGGGTCACGTGGCCTCCCAGACCCAGCCCCCGAGCCGCGGCCCCACCTGTCCCGGGACGCCGCTCCCACTCCAAACGCCCGCCCCTCCATTTCACCATCTTCATTTGAGAACTGAGGGGGACCCGGAGGCCCAGTGTCGTCGGGGATCTCTGCTCAAGGGGCCCCTCTGATCCTGGAGGCCCAGCCAGTAGCAACCTGATGGAATGGAAAGGGATCGGGCTCCGGTGGCAGCTGGGCTGGGAAGCCGGCGGGAGAGACGCCCAGGGGGCGGGGCCGGCGGAACCGGGGCGGGGCCGGGGCGGTTCCCGGGTCGCACGCTGATGACGCGCTGCGCGGCGCCCTAGCAACGCGGTTGCTAAGGTACGGCGAAAGGTCGCCAACATGGATGCGACCTCGGCTCCTCACCTCATCCCCTCAGAGATGCCCCAGTACGGGGAGGCGAACCACATCTTCGAGTTGATGCAGGTGATCGGGGACACTCCACGCGACGTCGGGGTGCGCGGCGAGGCAGTTTTCAGTGTCACCCGGATCTGAAGGGAGCCTTGAAGTCGCCCTCGGGTCTTGCTGACCCAGAGGAAGCGAGCAGGCCAACCGGCCCGGAGGTGGTGCTGGCTCTGCCGCCCACTCCTGTGCCTCGGTTCCCTGCCCCCCGCCCCCTGTGAAGTGCCGGTGGCGCCCCCACAACGCTCTCGGCTCGGGCCCGCCTCCTCAGGGCCAGGCGGTCCCGGGCTGTGTGACATTAGCCAAAGCCCTGTCCCGACCTGTGTCCCAGCTTTCCCTTGTGCAGCCGCTGGAGGTTGAGGTTTTCGGGAACTGGGCCGGAAGAACTCTTGGCCTCCTAAATTCTGAGGGGGAAAGAAGTTGGAGCTCGGTTTCCAGATTCTGGTCTGCTTCTCCCAGGTCACCCCCTCCCCAGAGGCACCTTCAGGGAACACCTGTATTTTGTGAGGCTGTGACCTGAGCTCAGGCTAAGGAACCCGAGTCACCAGCAAACGTAGTTCCCTTGGAAAGTGACAACTTCACAGAGTGGGAAAGTCCCAAAACTGCTGGAGTGGCCGGTTGCGGGGTAGCTGGGGGGCTTCCCAGGGGCAGTGGCCTGCTGTAGAGAGCCGGGTGTGCCTTTCCGAGCGATCCATGCAGGAACTGCCTGAGAAAGCGCTTCGTGCCTCACTTCCAGTCCTTTGTCATTAGGTATTCCCTTCATGGTGTGATAGGGCCACACAGTGAAGTTCAGGCTGGCCTTGAACTTGCTGTCAAGCCCAGGCTGGCTTCAGACCCATAATCCTCCTGCCTCACCTTCTCAGGGCTGGGACTGCAGGCTTGTGCTACCGCACCTGGCTTCTATTTCCATTTTTAAACATGTTATTTTAAAATAATTTTAGACTCAGGTTACAGAAATAGTATGGGGTTCTGGTCTCCCCATCCCAGGTTCCTCCAGCAATGGCATCTGACATAACATAAATACATCGTCAAAACCCGGAGAGCCATGTGCATACAATACTAGGCCTTATTTAGATTTCATCCATTTTCACCTGCACTCATTTTTGTGGTCCTGTGGAATTTTATCAGATGTGGAGATTCACATAACCACCACCACATTTCCATTTGAACTTAATCATGTCTTGAAATCACCTCGCTTTATAAAAATTAGTTTCTTTTGGCCTCTCCCTAAGCAATATCTTCAAATTTAGAGGTTGGAAACATCTATTTTCCTAACACACATTACATGTGCAACTACTCAGTCATGAGTAAGCAGTCTAAAATCATCTTGTAACATAGTCCTGGTGGTAGAAAAACATGCTACTGAACAGGTAGGGAAACTGAGGCCTCACAGGGAGGGGACTTGCTGGTGAGAGTGGAGAGGGGCCACAACCGGAACTTCTCTCAGGCCAGTGCTCATTTTTCTGCCTCACACACCCTCTGCTCTCCATCCCAGCTCCTCTCAGCTACTCAGTCCATCCCTGTGCCAGCTGCTTTTCCTTTTCTTTTTTTTAAAAGAAATTAGTCCACTTTGGAAGTATATAATGATCAGATTCACCATGGGGAGCCAGTACATGTACATGTCACATCTTAATTCTTTTCCCATCTCCTGGTCCCATCCCACTTGCTTCCCCTTGATGGGTTTGCTCTGTTAGATTAAATGGCCAAAGAGTCCCAGGACTGTTTCGATATTTGTGTGGTAATGGAGGGTTCCAGGGCCGTGTCCTGCTCTGGGCACCTACTATGACAGTGCCAGGCACTAGATGCCAGGGTGTCCAGGCCCACAATGTGGCCTACAGAACCTGTGACTTGCTTGGGGTGGAGGGTAGCATTTGGGCAAGCAGGGACAGTGTGAGGCAAGGAAGCGGGCACACGGCAGGGATGTGGAAGGGCATAGGACAGACAGGCCATTTACCTCATACGTGTGATCCGAAAGGTGTGTTCCTATGGAGACCACAGACCCAGGAGAAGTTAGCCAGCAAAAGAATGAGAAACATGCAGTCCAGGCCAAGGCGAGGGTCAGTGACACAGGAGGAGGACAGAGGGCAGTGCCAGAGAGACTGGGGAGAGGGCCTCAGGGAGGCCTGCTGTGATCCAGGGGCACGGAGCCTCCCCAGCAGCACCCACCTAGCCAGCTCGTCCCACTGCCCATGGAGACCCCAGCAGACACCAGCTGTGGTGGGTGCTGGGTCCCACGTGGAAGGCATCTTTGGTGGGGTGGAGGGGGCAGGCCTGTATCTGGCATCCACAGCAACCAGGGGCAGGTGTTCACCTGGGTGCCTGTCCTGTGTCTGCAGAGCATGCTGGAGCAGCTCCTGATCCACCAGCCACAGGACCCCATTCCCTTCATGATCGAGCACTTGCATCGAGACAACGATCACGGTGAGCCTCGAGTGCCTGGCCCTCTCCTCATTTCCCTCGCCGCTCCCAGCGCTTTTCCTCCTCTGTCCTACCTGTGTCAGAGCAGGGTGGGGAGAGGCTCCGACAACCTGAGGTGGTTAATTGAAAAATGCTTTCATTTCTTTTGGAGCACAACTAAGAAAAATTCTCTTGCCAAGTTATTAAAATGCAAACCTCAGAATGGCCCACAGAATCAAATATTAATGCTTCCGCCTGCCCTGGCTGATGTCGCCTGTTGGGCTTAAAGCCCTCTGATCACTCCACTTGTCAGGTTTAAGTTGGGTTTCTGGCCTACCTAGACAGGCAAGCACTTGGGCTTTTCTGATGATCTCATTATTGGTGCCTGCTAATGAGTTCCAGAGCTCCCCAAACCTCAGCCTGGTACAGGTTGGCCAAACCCAAGGCCAGAGCCTAGAACTGGGAGGAGGGAGGTGGGACGAGGGGCACCGGAGCCAGCAGTGCCCCTCGCTCTACCCCAGGATGGGTCAGTTTACCAAGTGGAGGCTCATGCTGGTCCTGGGTGAGGGAGAACTGGTATCTTGGAGCTTTGGAGCTTCAGTGTTTCTTGTGGAGCATTACCTACTCTGAGGACACTCCCAGCACACCAGTGAGCCAGTGCTTGGTGCCGCCCAGAGGTGTAGAGGCCCGAGATGCCCGCACAAGTTGTTTAAAGGAAAAAGATGAGCAGAAAGAGGCTGCAGACCTGTAGATGCTCCTAGCTCCCTTCCCTGACGCGGGGCCTGGGGGCCCCACATTGGAGCATTGGAGTGAGGGGCTGCTTCGGCTCCAGGGCAACTGCACGGACCTCACAAGGGGGCTCAAGGTGAGCCCAATAGCGCCCTTTTCTGAGTCTCCACCTAGGAATGGCTGAGTCTGGACATTTCCGGTCCCCTGAGGTCCATTCAGAGCCAGTACATTGGGGGAGGTGGAGCTGTGACCCTCCTTAGGGTCTGTTTTTAAGGGCTGCAGGTGGGGGTTAATCCTGCCCTTCCCTCCAGCGGTCCTCACTGCTGCTGCCAGCCCAAGTTCCACGTCTCTGCTTCCTGCTTCTCAGGCCAAGCCAGAGCCAGGGCTGCTAACCCAAGCTCTGGTTCACTCTCTGCTGCCACCACCATAGATACAGGAAAGCAGAGGAAAGTGAAATAAAAAAAAAGTGGAAAAAGCAAAATCACACACAGGAAAAGAGAAAGTAGAAGATGAGCAAAGCCTGAGCGGGCCAGAAGCTGCAGCCCTGGGGCTTCAGACTGCCGGACCCTAAGATCTGCGGACCCTAAGATCTGCGCCCCCTGTGGCGTTGGTTTCCTCCTCTGCAGGGTGGGTGTGTGCAGTGGGCGGAAACGCAGACCGCAGGGGCCGGGCTGCCCCAGGGTAGCCAGTCAGGGACTGCCCCGGGGAATCACGAGCCCCTAATGCTCCTGTGGGGACCGGGGTCTGCTGGAAGGTGATGTGGGGCTTCCTGCTGGTGAAAAGCTAATGAAAATGTCTTGTTTAAATATCCTGTTTATTCCGCAAGTTACTTGGTTTCGATATGGTATTTTCATACATGCACATAACCTACTTTGATCATATCTGTCCCCCAGGATTTTCTAAATTATAAATTGCGCTTGATAAAGGGGGCTGCTATTTGTGCCCTGCTATTGATTGATTGGTTGGTTGGTTGATTGGTTGGTTGGTTGAATTCACTGTGTAGCCCAGGCCGGCCTCGAACGTGTGATGATCCTCCTGCCTCAGCCTCCCGAGTGCTGCGATTGCCTAGGTCCCCAGCCTCAAAATTCACGAGCCTAAAAATGGAGGCAGAGTCCATCTTCTCTTCATGTTGCCTTCTTGCTATTCTGTCTGCAGAGGCAGTTTCACTGAAGTCCACCCCCTGCACTGAGATAGTTAAGCTCGAACATCCTCACTCTGGCTTGGCTCCAGTGCAGCTGATGTTGCTGGACAGCTGTTCCCTCCCTCCCTGACAGTCCCTCCTGATACAGGACGTAGGTGGGCGAAGCTGGCTGGGGAAATGAGTGGGACCTGTCAGTTTCGAGATCCCAGGACGGCGCCAAATAATTCCCAGGTCCCTGGATGTGGAACTTCTCGAGGGCTCCCGCAAGATGTGGGCGGCATAAAAGAGCCAGTCGCCTGGGGGTACCAGCTCCTGGCTGGGTGGGCTTTTATTTTTCCTTTTATCCTTTCATTTGTTTGGCCCAATTAGCTGTGCAGAGCTAGTTCTTCCCATACCCCTTCACAGTTTTCAAGTAAACTTTGGCACCATTTTTGGCTCGTCTCGTCCAATTCTTTGTTCAAGACAAAAAGGACCTGGAATTCTGATCATGAGCCACTTTTAGAGGATCTACCAGACAACACTCCATCCCCTCCTCAGCCCAGTCACAGGGCTGACTTTCCCAAGGCTGCCTTCTCCAGGCAGGGAAAGAGGGTGTAGACCCACTCTCTGGCTCCCAGCTGCGGGGTGCCTCCTGTCTGCTTCTGCGTGGTCAAAGTGGAGGTTTTTGGCCCTGATGTGCTGAGAGCACAGTCCTTGGGTCCCTGTAATCATTGCTTTAGGGACGAATTTGTCCCTGTGGACCTCCACCTCCATTCCCGGCGCTGGCAGCTTTTGTGGCCACTGGGACACCTCTGTGACTCGCTTTTGTGACTTTCCTCTGAGCACAGAGAAGCCGCCTCGATTTACGCCATCTGTTAGAGAGGGGGACAAGAGGCCCAGAGTGTCCAGCAAGGGCTCCCCTGGCAGATCCCAGGGCCTCCTTCCTGCCTCGAGGGAGTCTGAGTTCACTGGAGCTGGGCCCTCAACCCTCTGCATCCTGGGCCCGGAGTCATGCAGACCCACAGCACCCTAGCTGGTGTCAGGTGGAGCAGGAGAGAAGCCTCTGTCTCGTACCACCCCGGAGTGTGCACAGGAGGGAGCAGAGGAACCCCAGGACTGAGGCTGGCAGCCCCTTCGCTGTGCAAAAACTAGATTTAGTACAAAGTGAGCATTTACAGTGGCCTTGGGCAATATTAAAGCAGGTGGTGGTGGATATAATGGTGTGTTTCGTTTCTTATCAAACGTTTGTCCAGGAAAGCTGTGTATTAGAGCTCCAATACCTAAGGGTTTTCTTGTGAATTTTAAATCATGCTCCTGCTTAAACCTCAAAAGGCTCCGTGGATGGAAAGGTTCTTTGATTTCCTTTGAAGTGGTTGAAGGACGTTGATTACTCTCGGCAGTCAAGCAGCCTCTTATGACACTGTTTATAAATAATTACTTGTGAGCAGGGCTGGAGTTTCAAGGTGTTAGATTTTAAGAAACTGAAATTAATCACATAAATGAGTACGAGAAATTAGGTGGGGAGAAAGGCCGCGGATGTTCTTCTTTTAAAGTCTTTTCAGAGATGTGTGTGATGAGGTAGTCACTTAGAGCCTGGAAGGGGAGGGCTTCCCCCGCGCCTTTAGCTCCATGATTCTGCCCAGGTGGACAGGCTGCTTGGGAGTCGGACTCAGCCCCAGAAAGCCCGAGTCCTGAAGTATCTCCCCGCTTCTTGAGCTGCGCCGCCCTGATGCCTGCTGGGTCTGGCTGGGTTCGGAGACGCAGTGCGGGCCTGCGCATAGAGCACCCGAGAGCCCCACCATCCTGTGGACCCAACTGTGGCCCAGCAGGTATTCGCCCTGCGGTCTGAGTGAGCCCCCACTCCACAGCACAAGGCCTCCCCGCCTTCACCACCCCCTGTGCGGACTCCCAAACTGTGCCACCCCAGCTCCTACCTCACCCCATCCTCTCACCTGGCTGAGTGTCCCCTGTGTCACCTGGTTTCCAGACTTGGCCTACAAGCCAGTTTCCTACCTGCTGTGGTTTCTCTCGTTCACCTGGAGGCCCCTGGAAGCCCCAGCTTCCAGGCCCAGGGCAGACGATGGCCCTGAATCCCCACCTGGCTTCCACCCCTCCCAGCGCCCCTCTGCACTCCGCACACACCCACAGAGCAAAGCGGGATGGGCCACGTGTGAGCATTGTCAGTGACAGGATGAGCCTGGGGAGTGGACAGACCCTCGGGCCCAGCTCTCTGACTCGTACCATCTTCTCACCCTTCCTGGAGCGTCCGCCCGTACCCACCTCTTGTCACCTGTCAGGTCCCTGCCAGGAAAGTCCTCCTTGCCCCAATCCACCCAGCAGCCACCCAGGCCCACTCTCTCTTTGCTGAGGTTCTGTGCTGGCTCCCGAGCGGGGCTCTCCTGGTGAGTCTCACCCCACCACCAAGAAGCAGCGGCTCTGCTGTCCCCAGCGAGCAGCACCTTCCTGAGGGCGGTACAGGGCTTGGGCTCCCCTCTTACTGCCCAGGACAGCCAGAACCAAAGAGCCACCACACGGCAGCGCCTGTGGCGGCCTCCTCAGCTGTCTCTTATCTCTTTCTGTGGTCACCGAGCACCTGTCACACTTGTCACCATTGCACCACTTTACAAAGGACATTCTCAGGACAAGTAGAAGGGTCAGGCACAGCTGACTCAAAGGCCCACGAGGATCACAGAGTCCTGCGCAGGCTGGGAGCCGGACCCAGGGCCACCCTGCCAGGACTGACACCCCAAGTGAGGCCGCCACATGGTCTGGGGAAAGAGCACGGCTCCGCTGGCACCAGACCCCGCAGCCTGTGTCCACCATGCTGGGACACATGGACACCAGCCATACCACCACCGCCACCCTGGAACCTGGCCTCGCGGATCTATCCCTACAGAGGCCACTCTGAGGCCACAGCTTGGCCTCAGAGCTTGTCTTGACCTCTTCAGCTTTTCCCCGAGCAGGAGAAAGTGCCATGGAGTGTGGACAAAGATCGACCTGAACCCGGCAGCTGAGCAGGGCACGGATGTGCCGAGCATTTGTGGGACCCCTTGGAGCAGGGCTAGGCCGAGAGCGCTCGCTCTCCAACAGCAGGGAGCGAGGGGCCCAGCGCCACGGCACCCAGCACGAGGTCACGCTGGGCGCTGTGTCCAAACACTGCCCCCGCTTCCTACTTTTTGACCTCAGCACTGTGCCCTCCTGCCCGCGCTTACACTTGTGGTCTTTGTCTGTGCCACAGACCGGTAGCTGCTGTGTTAGAAATTCTGCAGGGGCCAAGACCATTCCAGAGCTGGGATTAGAGCCACAAGTGAGCCAGTTTTTTCCATTTGCATAGAAATGCCCATATTCGAAAACAAAGACTCATATCTTGGGTTTTATAAATCTGACTCGTACTCCCAAGCTTTTTTTCCCCATTATTTTGCTCTGTGAAATGATGGGGGTGATCCAATTTACTAAATAAACAGGCATAAATATTAAAAAAAAAAAAAAAAGCTTTGCAGGTTAATTTACATAAAATACAACTTTACTTGAGAGAGTATCCCTGAGACAAAGTCTCTGTTTAAAATACTTTATGGTATCGGAATCCCAATTGTTCTTGATATTTATTAGTTTGGCAAACGAGTTACCGTGTCCTTGTCCCCATGGAGACAGACAAATAAACCATCTCGGTGATCGCTTACCTCTCCCAACACAGACCTCGCTCTATGGCGCAAGGGTCCCAGCTGCTGGGTGACAAATGGCCGCATTACCAGCTGAAATGAAATCTGGGAACAGAGAAATAAATACACCCAGAGTACAGCAGACATCAGAGGCTGCTTTGTCTTACTGAATGGTGACATTCAAATCTTTTTATTCCGCAGTGCCGAAGATCATAATATTAGGTCCACCCGCCTCGGGGAAAACAACTATCGTAAGTGCGTGATATTAGATGTTGTAAAGCTGCAATATTTCATCTGTGCTCTGGCGGGCAAGAACCTGCCCCTCCGTGAACTGTCAGCTCACTGGGCTGTTCTTCTTTTCCTCTCCTTTTCTCTTCCTTCTTATTTTCTTAGTACAAAAGGCAGAGTGTCTTCATAGTAAAAGCCTAGGAAATTTGAAAAACAAAAATGCGATTCTCTAACCAGGAGAGAAAAGTATTCCTTCAACATTTCGGGGTACCCTTCCTGAGCAGTCCCCTGCCCACAGGAGTGTGACCCTGACAGGCCTGGAGATGTATCCACACTTCCAGGAGGAGATGGTGCAGGGGAGAAGGAAGGGAGGCGGGGGCTGGGTGCAACAGCACACACCTTTCAGAGATGTTCGGTGTGGGACGTTAAGATTCAGTCTTAGATTTTTAATTATGAAATATTTCAGTTACTCAGAAAAGCATAGAAACCAGCCAATCCTCACGCAGAACGGCCTGCATCTGCTTTGCTGTGTGAGTTAGCCTTGTGCTGTTTATCCGCCATCCATCTGTCCGCTCGTCCATCCAGTTTTCTGTCCATCTGTCGCTCTAGGGTTTCTGTTGGGTTCCTCAGTGCTGGGCTGGCAGCTTCCACTCCTTTCTGCAGCCAGCACCCTAAATCCAACCGACTTCCCTGACTCACTGTTGTAGACTAGTGGCTCCCAGACATTCACGTTGCCGGGGGCTTTGACAAATGCAGGTCCGGGCCCTGGTAGAGGACCTCATGAGAATCTCTTAGGTTGGGCCTCAGAAAACTGGCTGGAAAAGGCTCCCCAGGAGCTTCTGCCTTGGGGACCCCAGAAGACAGGCTATATTTAATCAAGCAATGGATTAATTTACTGAGCTGTGTTTTCAGGAAGAGACTGGCTGCTCAGGCTGAGGGTCTTCTTTTGGTAAAGGGCACTTTTATTTATTATTATTATTTTTTAATGGCATTGAATCCAAGGCCTTCACACTGAGCTACATCCCTAGGCCTTTTAAAATTTTTAATTGTGAGACAGTATCTCACTAAGTCACTAAAATTCCAAAACTGGGCTAAAACTTGTGATCCTCCTGCCTCTGCCTCCTAGAGTGCTGGCGTGATGGGTGTGCACCACCATGCCCAGCCTGGCAGAGGGCTTCTGTCTTGTGTCCCTCAGGCCAGCTTTGTGGCATTCCTTGTTCTGGCTGTTCTGTGACTGCTAGGGGCAGTTTACTAGCAGAGCAGGTTCAGGGCACAAAGACCTTTTTATATCGAGTCCCAGCATGACCAGAACCACCAAATTTGTCTCCCTGACAGGCCAGGTCCTGGCAGCTGGCACCAGTGTCCAAGCCCAGGCCTTTGGGGGATTCACTGGCCTCACTCTTGAACATGGCGTGGGGACACGGATTCTGATTTTATAATGAAAGGCTATACAAAATCTGAGCAGGACTCTTTCTGGATACTGTTCCTGATGTTCCCCAGCTCGAGGAACAGGGAGAGTTAGGGTCACCCCAGCCCAGGGAACCTGCCAGGGCCTCGGAATCATCCCGGTGCTAAAGTGGTCACCAGCCTCATTTTAACACCGAGAACACCTCAGTGCCTTGTTATTCCTTAAAACTCACTTTTCACACGCGGGCTGCACGTAGTAGTCCCCAGTGAATTAAACCAATGTCCACCCCCAGTGCTTAAGAAAAAAATGAACTGTGAGTGTGGATTGTACTGTCCCCGCCCTGCCTGGTGTAGACCTTCCTTGGGTTAAGATCTCTCGGGCACAGAGCAGAAGGCAGCTGGCGAGGGGGAGGCAGCTTCCAGCCCAGGTGGGAGAGGAAATGCTCCGGGCAGCCACAGCATACCGTGAAGCCTCCCCACAGCCAGCCTGTGCCGTTTGGGTCCAGGAAGACTTGGGCACTGTACAGAGTTAGTGTTAATAGATTCGCTGTCTTCACTCAGACTCCCCCCTGTGCTTCCCTTCTTCAGGCCATGTGGCTCTGCAAACATCTGAGCACGAATCTCCTCACCAGGGGAAACTTAATAGGAAGTGAATTCTCCTCTGTGGCTGCTGAAGCCAGAAAGCATTACCAGAAATGCAAGGTAGGACTGGCCCTGGGCACAGGGGTGGGCGACAGTGACCCTGCTTCGCGTATTTCCCCCATGTCGCGCACACAACCCCTCTGCTTGCTCGGCCCATTTCCTTTTCCTTCTGCATTAAGAGGGGCAAGGTGGGGGAAGCTCAGTTACAAGCAGGAAGAGATACAAGGGAGGCGAGGGTGCGGAGCTGGGCCTGTGGACGAGGCGCTCTCTGGTCCCGATGGAGTCCTTCCTTGTGGTCTGGGTGGCTCCTTTTCTTCGGGTCAGCTAAGTAAAGGGGCAGAGGCGAGCAGAGGTCTCTTATCCCACAACAGTGGCCCTGGGGGCTGATTCTAAAAGTTCTTCGCCCAGCTGCCTCCAGCTTGGGCAGCCCAGCACCGGGCCCTAAGGAAAGTTAAGGTCTCTGCCACTGCCCTGGTGACTGCCTGCCTGCCCTTCCCACCTGCCTGGGGGAGTGTTCCAGAAGAGCTGAGGGTGCTGTTCCCGAATCCCACCAGCTCTGAACTTGCAGAACATCTGTTAAGGGGAAATAGAGGCTTGAGCATGATGTTTCTCTTTATTTATTTATTTTTGGTAGCACTTGAGAGCAAACCCACAGCCTTCACATGGAGCTACATCCCCATCTCTTTGTTTAGTTTTGAATCAGAGTCTTGCTAAGTTGATAAATCGCCCAGAGTGCACTTGAACTTGGGATCCTCCTGCCTCAGCCTCCCAGAGTGCTGAGACTATAAGCGTGCGCCACCAAGCCCAGACATGTTGTTTCTTTTCACCACACATAGAAACCCCAGACATTTCTTCAGAATTCCCTTTGGATCCTACCACAGGGATGTGCCCTGTCAGCATTCTTTCCTGAGACCCCAGCTTCTTCTGTTTGTGCAGAGACACAGCTGAGGACTGGACAAGAGGGACCTGGTGTGAACCGGGCACTGGGTATGTGCCAGGCATGCTCTCCAGGGCTCTCACTCGCCCCTCTTCTGGGTGCTGCATAGGCCACCGCTGGGCCCCTTGGCCCTTCTGTGGCTTTGCCTTCAGAGTGTGGGTCCTGCACATGCCTGTGACAAGCCAAGTTCCACCAGACCCAGCCAGCTGGTGCCACACTCACGCTGGGAGTCAGCCGACAGCACCTTCCAGCCAAACTTAAACCGTAGTCACCCATGGAGCCAAAGGACAGCACCCTGGCCCCTGGCAACAGTGCAGATTCAGGCCGAGCATTGCCTCAGCAGGTGCTCGTGTTGGTGGTGCCAATCCGGGTTGGTCCAGGGCCTTAGTGCCAGCAGGGGGTGCCGCCAGGTCTCCCGCCAGCCTCTGTCTCCATCTGATGGTCTGGTCTTCACCCCATGCCTGCTTGGATGCTGTTCCTCAAACAACTTGGAAGCAAGTTGCCAGGCCTACAGACGGCCCCCATGTCAGCTCCTGGTTTCCTATAGTGGGGGTGCACCCAGGGCACGGAGAGGACCTGAAGAGGGACCAAGTTCCAGCTGCTTGGTTCCACAGCCAAGATTCAGGCTCACGGCTGGGCCAAGGTTACCCCCAGAAACGAGGGGGCGGTGTAGGTGGACCCTGGCCCCGAGGTCAGCACCATGGCCATCACCGTCCCCCAGGTGTCCCCACAGTCTTGCAGAAGTCAGAGCTGTGAGCTCTGGGGACCCCGGGGTGTGGGGAAATGGTCTCCCCAGTCCCTGCTTCTCCTGGTGGGCGAGGCAGGCTCATTTCCGGGTTGGAGATGCCTCCCTCACTGGGCTCATGAAATTATTCAGCCGAGAGGTGGAGTTAAGGAAATTCCTCCCGGGCTTCATTACACTAATTACCAGCCTGTTTCAGACCACATCCAAGGGTTTCCAGGGCGCCTTGTTGGGGTTATGGTTCAGACACCGGGTGGAGGGAAGATGAAAGGCGAGATTCGGCCTCATCAAGGGGACGATGGTTCTGCAGAGAGAGCTGAGGCGGGCGTGTGTCACTAGGCTGTGCCCTTGTCTGCAGACGGCTGCCTGCCGGGCCTCATTAAATGCTGTCTTCACGTTGTCTGCTCATTTGAGTCTTTACAGCACCATTTGCAAGCACCTTAATACCGTCAAATGCCTGATTTTCTCCTGCTTATCTCAGCTCTGCCCTCCTGAGTCCTCCTGAGCAGAGTCCAGTTTTCAGGTGGTTTCTGAGGTCCTTCCTGAGCACCGGCTCTGTGCAAGTTCTGGTCTGCACTGGGGGGAGAATCCCTGGGTGCCCCGGCCACGGCAAGACCCGCAGTGCCCTAAAACCAAGCCCGGGCCAGACGTAGGTCCCCACCAGCCCTCCTTCAGTTTGAAGCCGCAGCTTCGTTTACTGACTGCTTTGGATCGGTTTCCTGGCTTGGGCTGGAGAGTGAGCCTGCTGTACAGCAACATGGGGGTCACACCACGCAGAGCCGTCCTGGAGGCCACGCAGGTGACGTTCTGCGATAGCACGTGTCACGGACCCCAGAGGGGCGGTGCTGCCTCCCCAGGGTGCTGGGGATTAGAAGCAGCTTGTTTTTCACTCCTTATTACAAAACGTTGCAAAGCTCTTCACCAGCAGCGAGACCCCATGGGAACCCCACAGGCCAGGCCAGCAGCGGGCTGCCCCCACCTGACCTCATGCGGTCCGGCTCCTGCTCACTGCCCCGGCGACCTTAGAGCAAACACGGACTGCGATTCACTCATCGACCATAGAGGTGTCGTCCACAGCTCCTGAGGCACTGAGCACAACATGGACCCTGGCCCGACCCCATGCCGAAGCAGCTCTCACCGCGAGCAGCCCCAGCAGCCAGCCTGGGAGCCAGTCAGTCACCGACAGGCCCGGCCCGGGAAGCAGCCCCTCTGCCGCTCCGGGAGGCTGCACAGTAATTCCGCAGCCATCTGTCCAACGCGGCCGGGACTGGATCATAACTTGCAGCTTTCTTAACTTTTGTCCCCGCGGCCCGCTGAGGAGCAGCCGGTGTTCGCAAGACGCGCGCCTCTTGGGAGC